CCATCTACATGGCATACTTCTCTAAGCCTTATTTAAAATGATACCATATATTAGCTCCACTTAGCTTTCATTGATACACCCTCGACCATCCCTATGACTTGTTCCCTCTATCCATCTATCCATCTATACGGACATACTATGTAACATTACACTACACTCGAATAAAGTTCTCTCTCTATTCATCATTCTTCTACTTCTAGTCTTCTACCGTGACTTATTATTACAATTGTGATAATTACATGAATACCTACCTACCTACCTAGGTATCTATCTCATGAATTTTCCATGTCTGATTTGAGTACGATTAGATATTGTAATAGGTAATGGGTGATATGTTATAGATAACAAGTAATCATAGGCCCTCTACAGGCCAAATCTACTCAAAATAGACTTTTTATAATCTATCTACAATTGATTAATGATTTATTCAAAATACGAGTAAACGAATCTGTCATTTTTTGTAAACATTCTTTTTAATACATATATTAAGATTTTAAGTATATATTGATATTTGAAACTAAACTAAGTTATCTTCTCCCGAGCCCTCTCAATTGCTACCCCTTTACCCTTTTACTCTCTATCCTCCCTTCCTTTCTATAATTCTATTCCCTTAATCTGAATTTCAAACCTGATTTTGAACCTCGTCATCACACTCTTCAAGTTGTCGTCGCTAACCCTTAATCGTTTATATAAACGATTTATTAAACCATTCTATTCAAACTGAATATTGAAGCATTAAAACCATTAAACCCATTCATTCTGACTTACTGAATATCAAAAGCATTGAAGTATTAAAACCATTACCATTAAAACCATTCATTCCAACTTACTAAACACTAAAAATAGTGAAAGCATTCAAGTCCTCAAATTGACTTGAATAAAAACTTATAAAGAAATACCGGTAGCCTGAGATATAATTGAAAGAATTTGAACCAAACGATTTAGAAAAAGAAAAATTAAAGTTATTATATCGAACTATTTGAATAAAAGTTAACTAATTCATATTAGATTCAAACCATAAATTCAAATCTCAATACTAGATCTTGGCACATCTCCGAGTTCGTTACACTTTAAACACAAGATTCTATAGAATAATATTTTTTAGATGTAAATTAATAATCTATATAAGGTATCTATCTGTAGGAGCCCCTTTCCCCCCTATCATCCCTTACCCCCATCTCCCATCTCCCATCTCCCATCTCCCCTAATCCCACTTCACCCCGCTCATCCATTTCCCCTTCAATCCTCCCCCAAAACAAAAAGCACACAAGTCCAAGCCACAAAGGGGATTAATTTAATTTATTCTTATTCTTATTCTTATTCTTATTCTCAATTCTCAATTCTCAATTCTCAATTCTCAATTCTTCATGCCTTGCCTTGCCTAACCTAATTCTCTCAATTCTCTCAACTCATGCTTCTCCCACACACACACTCTTTTTCCCACCTCCCACAATCTCTCCCACACTTTCCCTCCCACCTCTCTCACTCTCCCATCAAGACAAGTATACGTAAACCCTATACACACCAACCACCTGCATGCAGTATTTCCCCTCTCTGGTACTCATACTCATACTCATACTCATACTCATACTCATACAACATACAACTATCTACCACCAGGTTAACTAAACTAAGTGAATACCAGTCTACCCACCCTGTATCTAATGTATCATTCGCATTTATTCCGTTCCGTTCTGTTCCCATCCCATCCACTCCACTCCACTCCACTCCAGCTAGCAAACCAACAAGCTTCTGTTCTAACTTCAATCAATCCATGCGTCCATGCGTCCATGCGTCCAACATGCAAAAGAAAAAAAAGGAGAACAGGTGATGTTCAAGGTATCGGTATTGTTATAAGGAAAACTATACAAGTCGTGTCTAATGATTTTGAATTTTGATTGCGGCATTTAGTCGCCAAGAGCTTTCCTCAGATCCGTCCATTTTCGAGTAAGTGCTTCATGGGCTGCATTTATCTAGACCATTATTAGTATCTCTATTTGTTCGTCAGAAAAGGAAAAATTGTTAAATACCTCGGCGTATTTCATCTTTGTCTCCACCAGATTTTGCTCCATTTCATTAATTTCATCCTCGAGTTTTTGATTATCTTCATGAACTTCTTGATTCCTCTTCATTAAGCGATCCATCTCACTCTGTAATTTTGCTTCAATCTGTTCAGGTAACTTATCAATCACAATCTTCAACTCCTTGACTTGTTCCTTGAGAGTTTCGTTCTCATCCTGTGTTTCCTGATTTTCGACCTTGGTACGAACAAGGTCGGTGGCTAAGGCTGCGTGTTCGGTATCGTGTGACTCAACTCGTTCTTCGAGACGTCGAACTTTGTGTGTAAGAGCGATATTCGTCGATTTCAGGTGCTCTAGCTCTGCTTCTCGATCTTTCTCCAGCTTGGTCTTTTCTTCCCATTCTAATGCATATGTCTCGAGCATTTTAGGAGTTATTTTGACGGCACAAGCATCTTGAATCATATGATCTGCTCGATAGACTTCTTTATCGATAGTCGCGCCAGAATTTCCGAAGAAGCCAGATTCCAGAATTGATCCCGCCGAAGGAGAAGCATCAATGTAAACATCAAAAAGTCGATCCTTGAGAAATGTGGTTAATGCAGCCATATCAGTGAGGGTCAGGAGGTGAGCTGCATTCTTTTGCATGAGTACAATTCCAAATTTGAGAATAGCCTCGAGACCTTCGCTAAGAATGAGATCATAGATTCGAAGCACAAGTTGTAAGGGGAAGCGATAGGCGAATAAAGTAAGGAACCACTGTGTTGCGTACAAGTGAGGTGTAACTTGACGTCGATGGAGATGACAATACAATGCCGGTTCGAAGTCCTCTAATAATCTTTCAAACTGATAAAGATGTTTATGTAGACCTGGCATATCCTGGATAAAAAGATCTCTAAGGTGATACTGATTCATAAGTCGTACTAATAGACAGAACGCTTCCTCCTCGGGCATCTGTTTGAATGTTAGTGACTGCTTTTAAGACGGGACTTTTTGTCTTACGTTAAAAAGCAAAGGCATAACTAGAAAGTTCATGCCTTGTGCGTAGCCAACGCCTTCATCGTAAAGAGCATATGCCTTGCATAAACCGAACAATCCATCTTGTAATCCGGCACTTGCAGCAAATTTCGAATAACTCGTTCGAGCACCTAAATCTCGCTTGATGGCCCTCTCGAGTTTTGTCAATGCTGCCGCATCTTCCTTGTCTTTCTTTTTCTTTTCAGCCAAAGACAAGGCTAAATCTCTCTCGTTAGGTGGAGAGGGGGATCTCACCCCGTTGGTGACGGTAGTTGCGGGCGTAGATTTCTCAGAATGTATTGATGATGCTGATGAAACCATAGTCTCCTTTATCGATCCATTGCTTTGTGCTCCGCTGGATGTGCTCATCCTGTCCTTGTCTTTGTCTGTACCTCGATTCACCAGGTTCCTATAGATAATTTCAAGCTCTTCGTTCTTACTCTCTGCTAAGACTTGCCATACCACACCTCTGATAGCATGCGGTATACCTGTTGCGATAGCTTGGTTAAGTTCTTCTGCACTTGTTCTTGCAACCGCGGCGGGTCCTTCGTAGACGACATTCTGCCACAAATCCCAATCGACCGGTGCTTCTGGATCAGTCATTGCAGAAGGGCCCGCAGAAACTCCAGACGCCGTACCAGGGGCTAATGCGGGGTTGACAGTAACCGGGTTAGGACTCGCTGGCGGGACAGAAGATGAAGGAGAGTGGTCCTTGTCATCATGGGAACCCGTAAATCCCAAACCGAGACTTGTACGCTGCCTAATAAGCCCCCCGAATGCTGTATTGCCTGCCTCATCCTTTTCATCCGGCAACTCTGTTATACCGGCCTCTTCTCGCATTCTCAAGAGCTTAAATCTGTCCCGCAGACTATTCCTCCCAGGTCGTCTAACCCCATTCGTAATGTCGATTTCATTGCCCTCCTCCAATTTACTTAGCATCATTTCAGGATTACTGCTGATGGTTGCTATCGAAGAACCGGTATATCTACGCTCACTCGTGTGAGGCGAGGGTATTGGCGGTGATTTTACGTTCTCTTTTGGAGCCGAGGTATTTCTTGAAAGCCAGGAAAATGGACTGGTCAATTTTCTTGTGATAGGGGCGGGCGCAGAAAGGCTGACAGGAGCAGGAGGAGGAGGAGGAGGGGGTGGCGGCGGTGAGAATGGCACATCCGGAAGGTTTCCAGAAAGACCTTGCATTGGAGTTATTATGCTGGGTTTTGGTGGTAATTCGGGTGGTTGATCAGGTCTCGTTTCCTCTGGTGCTACTACAAACTTGTGTATCAGTACTGCATTCCCATACTCCTCAAATAATAGAGCGGGCTTAATTACCTTTCGAAAGGGGTGGAGGTGGAGGTGATCCAAAATCATCACCGTCTTCGAGATTCACATTATGGAGGGACGTCGTGGACATGCGATGAGATGTTAAAAGGGGGGATTTAGGTAGCGGAGTAGGTAGTTGATTATCGGGTTCTATTTGTTCGTGATTCGTTTCGCCATTCGATTCTGGGAGTGGTACTGTTGGGACCGACGGAATATCGGCACTGATATCTTGTGTATTGCTCTTAATAGATGATGATCTCCGTTTCGTCAAAGACCTGGTTCTCTCAACTGGGGAGGTAGGAGTGTCTGCAATTTCTTCAACATCATTGGCATCCTCGAAGGTGTCCTACAATAAGAGTCGAGGGTCAGTAAATGGTTGGTTAAAGTTTAATGCAGGTAGAGATGTTGTACTACTCTCAAGGTAGGACATTGATCAATAGGGGATTGGAAGCAAATAAAGAACATAAACGAACACTCTCATGATCAGAACTTTGCTCAACTGTCTTCTCTGACTGTTCCATTATGGAATCTTCTTCTCCTGACTCAGAACGATGTTGTTTCTGCTCTTGATCTGACATCTCTTCATTAAAATACTCGTAAGAAAGAAAAGGATGTCGAGGAAAGAGGTTCTCTCAATTTGAGGTATGTATGTTTGGGTCTGGTAGAAGTACTATATGTAGTTTTAATGGGAAGGTACGGGATTCGAGGCCATCGAAAGATTTCCAGAGAATAGAGTTAAGGTAAGATATAAATCCCCAATGCGGCCGCTTTTGGTATTTTTTTGGGAGACGAACTTAATGTACTCGAGTATAAGAGCAATGCAAAGGAAGAAAGAAGCTTGTGTACAAGTCAGAGAGAGACAGTACCAGTATCTTCAGTATGAATATGAATTGTGGAGTACTTCTTAATTAAATTTAAATTCAAAAGATCCAGAATGTAGAACTGTAAATAAGAAGGGATTTATGACATGAATCATATAAGTCAAGTCTATCTTTTTATTGATTCATACCATTTTCCTCTTTGAAGTTAATAAGGAATTGGTGAATGTTGTGTGTGATAAGGGCAAAGGAAAGTACAAAATATAACTGGTGACAATGAGATTCAATTCGATCGCGCATCGGAGATTTATGTTATTCCTTTGTCGCTAAGGGAAAGAAGCATACCGGTATTCTACGAGTATAGGAATATAGAAATAGGAGAGGTAACTACAGGAATGTATTATACATATGAATTCAAGAGATGGGCAGGATTCAAAGACACATATCTTTCTTATGCCTCACATAACAATTCAACAAACAGGGGGTAAGAGCGGGAGCTATATTAACATAACGACAATCTTCAGGGGATAATCTAGCTGGTTCTTGTCTAGTGTAATAGAATGGGTGAATTAGTTTGACAGGTGTTCTATTTAAGCTAAAGGGGGAATCCTTGATGAGGGGGAATAAGGGAATGAGGATAATTCGATTATGAAACCGAGTTTATTAACCTTTTTATTTTATGTTATAAAAATATATGTTTCAGAAACATCTCATGTTTAAGAATATGCAGGCGGTTAAATATGAAAGGGTTCACTTATACTAGGTAGTTACCCAACCTCTCTAATTCATTTTGGTGGCTTTCCGATTCGTTGGACGGAACGGACTAGGTAGGTAGGTATATCTTAGTAGTGGGGGTTACTGTATATCGATCCCGAGCAAAGCGAGTAAAGCCTCCACGGCAGTGGCTACAGGAATGTATATCAAATCAACGGAAAGTCAAACAATTATAAAAAAAATACATCGATACCGGTGTCTTATAAGTATTTTATATGAGTCTTTCCATCTTTGACCTACTGTACCGGTAAATCATGGATTAAAAGAATATTTGAGGCAAAGATCTTAATGAGGGCTTATCAATTAAGTGTCTAGAACAAGGCTTCAACAAGGCTTCAACAAGGCTACTAAATTCAACACTTACTGGCATAGCATAACCCTAACATATAAGATGTGATCCATCCTTAGCAAAAGAATAGCTAATAATTAAAAAAAAAATGATTCAACTATATAATTCACTCTACAAATACCTAGAATCATTGTAGAATCATTGTAAATGTTTTTACTATTTAGACACAAACAGACTGACGTAGTTTACTAAGCAAATACCTAGTAGTAATGAAGTTTTCTCAGCCTTGAAACTTTATCTGGCTTAGTAAAGCTTCAAAGCAGGCCAGTACCGGTATGAGCAAGAGCTTCATCAAAATATCAAAATCATCCCATCTCCAACTTTCCTTCCACATAACACAATTCCCGACAACCCAACCCCACCACCACCACCCATAATAATTAAAACAAACCTTCGTTCTCTTCACACATCAACCTCAACCTCAACCTCACCACAACTACTTTACTTTCTTAATACACCTTTTCAGTAAATAGCTGGCCTTTTCCATCCAGCTTTATCAAAACGGGGAAATTTCAAATTCACCGATCTGACAAAGTATTATTGAGAGGCGCCTGCACCGTACCTTTCAATATCAACTCTTTCCGATACCACGAATAATTCTTCATTCAGGATTCTTACTCTACACCAAAAAATAAAGCGACCTTGTACCCTTCGTCATTCTTTTTCACTTAGCACTACTTACGAGTCCTTTATCTGTGATCAGGTAACGGTTACTATTTGATTGTACATAGTTGCCTCAAAAAGTCAACATACATTCAAGGCGCAAACACACCAAACTCAACTTATCTATAGTTGGAGCTGTCATATCTTGAGACACTCCTTTGTTGGCTTCTCAAGAAGTAGAATTTCTACATAGATAGTGGAGGGGGTCGACATCAATCTTTCTGCGGGTTTGCCGCGCTTGCCGTCATCATGGTCAGAATAACTAAGACGATACAGCCCAAGCACACAGAAACTTTCGTAAGACTCTTTTCCTTCGTTGATTGTTATACGCAGTCAAGCTGACTTTTATCATTTAGTCTTCTTTCATCAGCAATTTCGGAAAAACCGCATGCTCCATATCTCTGCCCCTCCTTCCACAACACCTCGCACAATTTCCTACAAGATGGCCATTTCCTCGTGGTGACCTTTATCATTGGATCTCCCTCTTGAATCGCTTCGATGTGATACTCGACAGATTCTGCACAACATACAAGCTAGCAGATGGTCCCCAAAAGGTAGGCTTCGGTTGTGAAATGCTGGAGTCGAATGTAGGAGCAACAACAGACGATACGAAGAGTCATGATCTGGTGGAGCTGGGCTATGGAGAAGATGGGGATAGACAATTGATTGAGGCAATCTTGAAATTCTCAAAGATGCTCTTGGAGAATTGTGGCAATCGCAGTATCTACTCCAGCAGTCCGCATCTGGGGAGTTTACTCAATACCACGTCTATGTCATTACTCGAGAACACTCTTCTGGTTACATCTCAATTGGCTCAGAGGTATAATTCTGCGATGAAGCGTGTTGGATCTGCTAGAAGTAGCAAACATCTATTGGCCGAGCATTACAATATTGATCTCAATAAAGTTCTGCAGCTAGCACTGCCTTTCAGCAAGACTATTACCACGCCACCAGACTCGGCACACCCAACGACACCTAATCCCACAACTCCTGGAGCCAAGGGCAAGGAGAAGGAGAAGGCCTATTTTAATCTCCCAGCAAGCCACAAAAACTCAACCACCGTTGTCTATGCAAACGATCTCGTTTCAATATACAAAGGTGGATCGGGGGTCAGCACAAACACGAAAATTCCTCGAAGTGGTTCTGATAACACTTCATCAGCCGTATCGCAGGCAAGCTGGGACGATTGGGGAGACATCAGGATGACTTACTATCCGAAAACCAAAACTGAACCCGAGCCAGTCAACAATGCTCTGAAGCCAGCTGATACCGTTACTATTCCTGTCCCACCTGTTACTCCAACGCAGGTTCGAAGATCATCGAACCTTGGTCCAAATGCTCAGCGTGCGAATCGTTCTTCTGCAACAGAAGAGACGCCTCCAACGTTGACACGTACCCCTACGATGCCCTCGGATGATGCTCAGCGACAGAATGCCAAAACTATAGAAATATCTTCAGCGAAGCTCAGATCCACAGACATATATTCTCTGATGCAGGAGTATGGTTTGGATATTCCCCAAGATCTGCAGTACGAGCTGTTCACAAAGATTCGAATTGCAAAAGCTCTCATATCATCTCTGGAGACTCGACAACAGGTCCTCGTGATTAGAATGCTTGCTGTCGCGAACATGGCGAATGTCTATGCCGAACCTCTCTTCCTCGAAAACATTATGAAACAAGATGGGGATGAGCCAAAGCGTTTACAGTTCATCTATCAAGTTGCTGATTTAGTGCACCCGCCTGCCGAAGGTGACATCGCTGTCTCTACGTACATGCAGACGCTGGCATTTTCAACTCTCGAGGCTGTCGCGGGCATTTCAACAAAGTTCCAAGACGTCTGCAAGGCTTTGAATACTACAATCAACCATGGGGTAATGCTGTACGTTATCCGCAAAGCTGTGGCTGAAATGGCCGTGGAAGATCTTGGTGATAAGTTGACAGACAAGGATCAGTGGCGAAATGCTTTATTCTCACTTATGACTAGTCTCTGTCAGTATCCCCGCACTGCAGAGGGTCTTGTCACAGCTGGCTTGATACCCATTATGATTGAAATTCTCGGACTCCGTACTACCGTGGCCCAGCGCTACCAGCCGAAAACTCTGTCATTTCTGGATAATGTTGTGTACAGTGCTCGTGAAGCCTTTCAGATACTTGTCAATGCAAACGGCCTTGATCGTGTCTCGGATTTGATTGTTCATGAGACATCGACTGCTTTTGCTATTGCAAATTCTGGCGATGGTATACCAAGCGAACATTGTTCACAATCTACTGATTATGAAATTCCATTTTACCAACAACAAATCTTGAAATGGCTGTTCAAATTCATTCACCATATGATGTCATCCGCAAACAGTTATGGAGGAAATTTCGATCGCCTTTTGCGAAATCTCATCGATTCTTCACAATTGCTCGGTAGCTTACACCAAATTATTGGCAACGGTCGCGTTTTTGGCTCCATTGTCTGGACTAACGCTGTTGGTATTCTAAACGGCTTCATTAACAATGAGCCCACTAGTTTTGCAATTATTGCAGAAGCCGGCCTGAGCAGGGGATTTCTCGAAGCTGTCTCCGGGGCTCCAATCGTGATGCCACAACCTCCAACGTCAGAGGGTGTGTCCGGTGAATCAAATCAGGCTATTGATGGAGATGGGGACAGTTCATCAGCATCATCTGACGAAGATGAAGATGATGAGCCTCTTTTTGAAGTTGATAACAACCCGCACCCACCGACCTTGGAGATGCTTCAAGCTCCCCGTAGATCACTGGCTTGGGGCATCATGCCAACCCAAGAAACTATCAATATTGTACCACAGGCATTCAGTGCACTTTGCTTGAATAATGCTGGTATGAAGATGTTTCGAGCCTCTCATGCTCTGGAATCATTCTTCGAAATATTCGAGAGTCCTCAACATGTCAGCTGTATGGAGTTAAACGGTGAACTGCCGTCTAGTTTGGGCGGGACTTTTGATGAATTGGTACGTCATCACCCGCCTCTCAAGGGCGCGATAATCAACGCCATACTTGATATGGTTGTCCGAGTCGGGTACCTCTGCAAAACCAAGGCAGAGAAGAATAGAGCGGGTGCTAAGTTATGGAATTATGATTCCGCCGGCAATGTTATTGCACCAGGTGCCCCATCAACCAGTCCTGCGGATACGAAAGGCAAAGGCACGACCACTGATAACGTTAGTGATATTGAAATGCGTGACGTCGATGACGGAGTGCCCGCCCCAGTCTCGGCCAAAGATTCCGATTCTTCCATGACACCATACATCACCTCTGTCGCTTCTTTCCTTGCCACTGTACTCAACAACTCTGCGGTCCGTACGGAGTTCTGTGCCAGAGGTGGAATTGAGTATGTGCTTGATCTTGCCGAATCTCAAAGCCTGCCAGCCAACTTCGGAGACGGCATATCTTCGCGGAATCTACAAAATGTTATTGCTCTTCTCGCTGAGCAAAAACCACATCTCGTGATTCCATCACTTTTGACGCGAGCCCAAGCTGCCGTGGAGATCCTGGAACCGTTCGCCACACACGATTTCAGCACATCTTTCTTTGCTCCGTTTGTAGATCATGACCTCCGAGGATCTGCCGACTCAGCCATATTGGCACAAGGCACTGCTTTTGCGAAAGCTTTTGTCAATATCCATTCCTTGGTGGCCAACTTGACAGCTTCCATCCAGGGGTCCCCATACAGTCACAGGAATGCTCCACCTGTTTTCAATTCTATGAATTTCGCTGATCACTACAATCGTTTAATACAAACCCTTGCTCCCCTCTTAGGTGCAGCTCTAAAGGAGGAAATTTTGTTGCAAAAGCTTGTTCCCAAGAACTGGCAACTCTTGTCAACGGCACGAATCAGGGATAACGGAATTAGCGATGCGACTTTGGACGCTGTCGTCAGTACCGAACCATCCCCACCTCCTGTAAATGTGCCAACACCAGCCGTTGTCAGTGATCCGCCATCTCGACCTCTACACCCTGACTACGTACCAACACCAGGTCCCAGCATACTCTTTCCATCTGCATCTCCAGCTGCTGATGTAGCAGGACCAGAACCAGACGTAAATCTCACCCTGGATATATCCGCCAAGCCGTACAGTCAGCTAACCCAGAATTCTGCGGAATTCCGCAACTATGGAACGTTGCGTTATCTCCTTGGCAGGATGCCTCGAGTTATAGGCCCCTTCTTCCAAAACGTTGGCAAGGTTCTCCTCAGCAAGCGCAGTCTTGAACTATACTACAGACAAAGTCACGCCACTATTGCAGAAGCTTTATCCGAATCTGTGCTCAAACAATTGGCCCGCCCCGGCGATGACAACAGTAACGAAAACTACTCTTATTGGATCGGATTGTTGAGTGTATTGAAGGACATGTTAATTGATTGTAAGAATCACCCTTTTTCCATGTTTAATTCACACGATTGAAACTAATGTTTTCCAGCTTCTCGTCATACAGATCGCCAAGTTCAAACCATTAGTCTTGTTTTACAAGCTTTCAAGGATCGTTCAGGCTTTACCACGTTAAACCACATCTTAGAAGCTTTCACTTGTGAAATTCGTGCGAGCAATGTTCAGTCACGCGAGCAGCAGGTGGAGGAAAAGACACCGGAACAGGTCTTGAAGATTGAATTAGCGACATTTGGCGCCAAGCAAATTCTTTCTTTCTATGGAATCCTCGTCAATTCCAAGCATATATTAGAAGTTCCACAGACTCTGGCTATGATACCTCGCAACGATCGAGATCGAGACCGTTCTCACACTTTCTCGCCCGGTCAATTTGTGGTGGAGCTTCGCATGGCCATCTTACCCACCGTCCGAGGTTTGTGGCAATCTGACTTGATTGAGAACGCCCCGAGCCAAATCTCCGAGAAACTCATCGAGGTAATCCGTACTATAGCCTCTACGGAAGGTGAGAGTGGGGCTATCAAGAGATCTGAAACCCAGCCAGATCGACCCACAAAGTCTCCCCGAAAGGTTTTCAAGATCAATTCTGACAATGTAAACTCGCTCAAAGATCAAGGTTATGATGAGGATTTAGCCAAGGAAGCCCTGTATCGCTGCAACAACATCCTTGCCACCTCTGCTGATTATTGCAAGGAACAGAAGAAAGAAAGAACTCGTGGGCGCTGTCCAATTCCTGACGATGATATTGAGGTTGCTCCTGAGCCTAGTGGTCATCCTGGACCATTAAGTGGATCTACTGGATCAGCAAGTCCAAATGAGCAGTCCATGACCATTAACCCTACTCGCCCAGATGTTACAGCTATTGTCAGCTCACTTCAACAAATAGCTGCAACTCTGCCTCATTCAAGTCAATCAGGCACACCTGGATCAGGTAGTGACTTCACACCCCAGGGTTTTGATCGCATCATGAATCAATTCGTCCCTGGCTATGAGAATAGGAACCGGGACACATCGAATGCTGCTGGGCCTAGTGCTTCTCGTGAAAGCCCTTTACTGACACCTCAACAGTCTATTAAGGCCGAAGAGATTCTTGTCAAGCAAGTCACTGTTGATGATTTGAACGATGAACGAAAGCTCATTCGAGACAATTTGATTGATAAATGCTTAGATGTCATCAATGCTCATGGCGATGTCACATTTGAGATATCTGATTTGATTACTACCGTGGTCAATAAATCCCCGGATCCTCCTGGACTGAAAAAGGTTGTCGGTGAGACACTTGTTTTTGCCTTGATGTCTTTCGCAGGTGAAGAAGACGTTCGCACTGATGGGGGTAAGATCGCTGCCTATGCTCATTTGTTGGCATTGATGTTGCGGGAGAAGCAGTTCTACGCCGCTGCAGTGGGTGAGCTCAAGGAAAATCTCTCTACTTTGCTCAGTTTTGTCAAATTATCTCCTTCGCACTCTGCTGAGGAGCCATCACCATGGATTGCGCAGATTCTTCTAATTGTCGAGATGCTTTTAAGCGAAGATGCCAAGCCAAGAAAGGCCAAATGGACGGCGCCAAAAAGCGAAAGTGAAAAAATCGAAGCGCCTGTGATTGAGCATGTAGAGCTTGCCGTATCCGAGGAAGAACGATCTCAACTCTTAGAGTCTATTATGGATATCCTCCCACGAATTGGAAAGGAGGAATCACTCGCACTTGCTGTACTTCGGATTCTTGTCATCTTAACACGTACCCGCTCAGTTGCGCAAGGCATGGGTGAGAAGAAGAACATCCAGCGATTGTTTGTCATGGCGAAGCAGCTCGCGGGGGCCAGTTCAACCCGCATTCACGGCCCTCTTTTATTAATTCTCAGACACATTATTGAGGATGACGAGACCATCAAACAAATCATGCGATCAGATATCAAGGCCTTCTTTGATCATAACATTCGACCGCAACGATCGCCCGTTGATCTTCAGTTGTATTTGAGAGGATTGCAGCACGTTGCTAATCGTGCCCCAGCACTGTTCGTTCAAGTAACCAACGAAATGGTCAAGTTTACAGGGTGGCCTTTCCTGTCCTCTGACCCGACAAGTCGTGCGCCATCCTTAGTTCTCAAGGGTGATCCTACAAGTGGAAACACGTTCTCTGTCAAGGTTTCGGAAGATGCTGTTCAGCCGACCGTCCAAGCTACGGAAGATTTAACTCTCCAAGATCTCAAACCAACTACTGAGGTTGTTGATACCGACATGCCCGATGTTGGAAAGGCAGCATCTCCAGAGCACAAAACACCCGTAGTCGAGAACCCCGATGGTGTTATTCACTTTTTACTTTGTGAGCTCATGAACTACAAAGATGTTGAAGATAAGGACCGTCCAACCACGAGCCATGCCAACAAGCCTACCTCGTCTAGCGATGGGGATGTAGCCATGGTTGGTGCACCATCCGTACCTGATTTACCTGCACTCAAAGGTGGCCAATCTCTCCAGGTCCCCACCAAGCAGGAATTCAAAGCCGAAGAACATCCCATATATATCTACAGATGTTTCCTTCTTCAATGTCTCACAGAACTTTTGTCCGCTTACAATAGAACCAAAATTGAGTTCATCAATTTCAAGCGCAGTGCTCCTCCTCAGGCCATGACTCCATCTAAACCTCGATCCAGTGTACTTCATTATCTTCTCGCCGATCTTTTGCCTATTGGAACTTTGGATTACGCAGAAACTACCACTCTTCGTAAGAAGCTCACCACCTCGCATTGGGCAGACTCTGTCATCACTGCTCTGTTGAACAAAACAGGCGAACAGATCCTTGACAAACTCCGCGAGCAAACCGATGGTGAAGACGAACCCGACCTCTTGTTCGTTCGACGTTTTGTACTAGAGAATGTTCTCAAAGCGTACAAAGATGCAAGTGCTTCTACTGAACCCCTCGAGGTCAGATATGCTAGGATGCTCTCACTTGCCGATCTGATGATGCATATCATGACCGGAAAGGAGAATCTAGGAGCTGCAGATACTGCTGTCAGCAAGAGATCGCAGATGCAGCTTAAGCGTATTATGTTTGAGAAAGGATATATTGCAGCCTTGACTGCTTCGGTCGCAGACATCGATTTAAATTTCCCTGGTGCAAAGCGAGCCGTCAAATACATCTTACGACCTCTGAAGCAACTCACTCACCACGCCATCTATCTTAGCGAAAATTCTCTTATAACATCTCTCCCAGGACAAGCTGATGAAGACGATATTGAGTCTGCCACTTCAGTGTCAGATCTGGAAGATGAGCGAGAAGAGACCCCTGATCTATTCCGAAACTCGACTTTGGGTATGTTCGAGCAGGGGGATGAGAATGATACATCATCTGACTCCGAAGATGGTAAGTTTAACCCACTGTCATGCGTAGTATTTAGTAGCTAACTCAGATAGATGATGAAGATATGTACGAAGGTGAATACGACGATGGTATGGACTATGAAGAAGAAATGGAGCAAGATGATGAGGAAAATGTTAGTGATGAAGATGAGGATGATGGCATGGGTCCTATTGAAGGTCTCTCTGGCGATCATGGTGTCGACGTCGAAGTCATCATGGAGGATGAAGACGACGATGATGAAGATGACGATAGCGAAGACGACGAAGACGACGACGAGCATGGCTCTGATGGTATGGACGACGATGACGCTCGCTTAGAAATTCTTGATGAGGTCGGAAATGTTCAGCAGCTTGCTGAAGACGAAGACCTCGACGAATGGGAAAGCGAAAATGACGAAGAAATGCAGGAGGATGATGAGGAAGATTACGAGGAAGGTTACGAGGAACCAGGAGAAGACAACGAAGCTGCACATGTTCATGCTCATTCTATGGGCGATATGGGTCCTATTGGCAACCTTGTTCGCGTTCTTGCTGGCGCTGGTGACGAGGAAGATGCTGTCGAGATGCTTCAACGTATGGAAGAAGAAGGCGTGGGCGACCCTGAAGATGACGAGGACGAGCCATTGGGTGAATACATGGAAGAAATTGAAGAAGAAGGTACGGTTATTAGTTTCTTCGTCTGAGATTGGACTTTTCGACAGTACTTTTCGAGCATTTGCTAACTTTTATCACAGAAGATGAAGAAGATGAGGATGATATGGACGAAGAAATGCTCTTTGAGCATGCATATCCAGGTCAGTCTAATATCAGACCAAGCTCTGCGGTCCGACTAATAGATCAAGCGGACGGCCCCGGTCCCATCTTTGATTACGAAGGAGAAGTTGAGCCTCCAATTGTCATCAGCCACCGTGGTCACCAAGGCCGACAGCGTCATGCACTCCCCAGTCCCTTTCCATTATTTCCTGGAGGTTCGCGCGATCCACTTGGTGGTAGGTCTCAACTCTCAGAATTAGAAGCTATCCGCAGAGCTGCAGAAAGACACACCCAGGAGCTCGAATCTCTGATTCAGATGGCGGGAATGATTAGTGGCCAACCCAGACAGAACAGAACTGATAGAGTTGTAGTTCCAGATTTTCGTTATAGAGCACATAGGTCGGGCGCTCCACCCCCACATTCTACAGATGACGGCACGAATCCTCTACTTCAACGCAATGGCCCAAGTGGTTCAAGCCGACCTGGCCATCGAGGACCTCCAATGGGCAGCTGGATTCAAGCAGCGGGACCAGGCGGAAGCTTAATAGACATGAGTAGTTTCCTTGGCGGACGTGCTTTTGGTGATAGCCCTGAACAAATTCTTGACATGATTAGATCCTTACGTATCCCAGGATCGATCGCTCGCAATGGACAAGCTTTGCAGTTCCATATCACCGCTGGTCCTGGACAGCTTCCTAGAGAACTTGAAGCGATGTTTGGCACGCGTCGTCCTCGTTCTGAGAATCACCGCGATACCAGCGAGCCTGGAAGCGCTACATCTTTCTCTACTCAGTGTACAGCTGCACGATGGGCAGAGGAGTCCAAGATGCTCTTTGGAGCGAGCAATATCGAGACGGCTCATGAGCTTATAAACGAAATTTTGGCTGCCCTCGTACCTCCTGCCATAGAAGCCGACAAAGTTATCAAGGCAGCAGAACTCGAGAAGATCCGCGTACTAGAAGAAGAAAAGCAAAAGCGACTAGAAGCAGAAAAACTGGCCAAGGAAGTTAAGGAAGCGGAGAAGGCAGCCAAAGAAAAGAAAGAGGCCGAAGAGAGAGAGGCTGCCGAAAGAACTGCGGCTGAGATCGTGGCTGCTCGAAGTACCGAGGTTGATGAACAAATCGACGAGTCTGTTGAGGCTAATAATGCCAGCGCGATTGATGCCATGGAGGGCGTTCAAAGCGAAGTGCCAGAAGCAGCTACCAATGTGGAAACACAGGAAACGGAAGTACTAGCTGCCGATCGTCCTAGGGTCATGGCTGTGATTCGTGGCAATCCATTTGACATCACGGATCTGGGTATTGACGCAGAGTTCCTTGCGGAGCTTCCAGAGGAAATTCGCGAGGAAGTCATCATGGCTGCCGTTGCCGAACGACGTCAACAAGCTACTGCCACCGGCTCGCAACCAACCGACATTGATCAGGAATTCCTTGATGCCCTTCCAGACGATATCAGACAGGAGATCATGCAACAAGAGGCACAAGAACGCCGCCGCCGTGAACGTATCGAACGACGAGAAGCAGGTGCTGCTGCAGGCGGTGCCCCACCAAACGAAGATATGGATATTCCAAGTATTCTTGCCACCTTGTCACCAACTTTCAGACAAGAAGTTTTGATGGATGGCGATGAAGCATTCATGGCATCCTTACCTCCAGACCTCGCTGCTCAAGCGCGTCAACTGCGCCGAGCCCAGCCGGATCATCCTGGCCACCCTGGAAGAGCACCTGTGGGCGTTATTCGCCGTGTGGCTCCCGGCGAAGAAAATCGGAATGCTCCTCAGCAGCCAAGAACTCGTCGGGCAATTGTGCAGATGCTAGACAAACAAGGTGTAGCAACACTCCTTCGTTTGATGTTCGTTTTCCAACATAGCAGTTTCCGAAATACACTCAACTCAGTCTTGCAAAATGTTGCATTGAACAAGCACAACCGTGCCGAGCTCATCAGCACCCTTCTCCACATTCTTCAAGATGGTAGTGCTGACATGATCGCGATCGAGCGAAGCTTTTCGTACTTGTCGGTGAGAGCGAAGCAACCAAGAGAAAAGGATCCAAAGACTCCAACACAAACTATCCGAAGAACAGTTACGGGTCTTGGTTCTCTTGCGCAGACAAATTCCGAGGCATCGCCGCTTATGGTAGTCCAACAATGTTTGACAGCCTTGGTCTATCTTGCTCAGACCAATTTGCATGTGGCTTCTTTCTTTTTAACCGAGCACGAGCCATCTGGCGGACTCAAGCGTAGTCTCAGTCGCAAAGGGAAGGGAAAGGACAGCAAAGCCCCAAGATACGCACTCAACTCCTTGCTCAGTCTTTTAGATCGTGACCTCATCATGGAAAGCGCGACTATCATGGAACAGCTTTCACTCTTACTTAACATTGTCACTAGTCCACTTATTGCGCTAGAACGAAAGCAAAAGGAAGCTATCGAAGAAGCCGAAAAGGCCAAGGCGGCTGCAACTCCAAATGAGACAGCCGAAACCACTGGTACTACTGACGCACCTAATCCTGAAAATGCTACCACGGGTGAAAGCGACTCTACAGAACAAACATCCACATTACAAGAAGCAAATGCTCCCACAGAAAACCCATCGGCCGATTCAGCTTCTGCTTCAGTACCGTCAGCACTTGTCATCACTACAGACGCTGCTGAAGGCGAGACTTCCACCGTTCCAGAAACCAATATTGCCAATCCTGAAGATGCTTCGAGGAAAGAAGAGAAGAAGGTGCATGTTTTCACCCCTCCCATTGTACCAGAACACAATCTCCGATTGGTGACCAACATTTTCTGCTGTGAGTGTAACTCCAAGACCTTCCGAGAGACGATATCAACTATCAAGAACCTCTCCACAATTCCTGGTGCGAAGGCTATCTTTGGGAAAGAACTTGTTGCCAAGGCCCGAGCATTAGGAGAAGTCATTCTCGTAGACCTCCAAGACCTTCTTCCTCAGATTCAAAAAGCCAGAACTGGAACGGAGATTCAAGGTGTCGCATTAGCAAAATTCTCGCCACCGGCCTCCGACCAGCACAAGCTTCTACGTGTCCTCACTGCTCTGGATCATTTGTTTGATCCTAAGCGGGAAAAGAAGGATGACGCAGCCAGTGAAGCCGAGGCCTCTTCTGAGATGGTTGAGAAGCAAGATCTTTTGTCTAGCCTCTATGAGAATTCTACTTTCGGTCCAATGTGGGAGAAGTTAAGTGCCTGTCTCAGTACAATTAGACAACAAGACCACATGTTGAGTGTCGCCACTATTCTTTTACCTTTGATTGAATCCCTGATGGTGGTTTGCAAGAACACCACCTTGAAGGATGCACCGCTAGCTCGGGCTACGAAGAATAAGGAAATGTCTCTCGCTAGTCCTGTTCCGGAGTCTCGTATGGAGAACTTGTTCTTCACGTTTACCGAAGAGCATCGAAAGATTCTCAACGACCTCGTCCGACATACCCCTAAGCTCATGTCCGGTACCTTCTCACTCTTGGTAAAGAATCCCAAGGTCCTTGAATTCGACAACAAGCGCAACTATTTCAGTCGCAGCATTCACAGCCGAAGCCAGACTTCTCGTGCAGTCCCTCCTCTTCAATTATCTGTCCGTCGGGAGCAAGTATTCCACGACTCTTTCAAATCCCTCTACTTCCAGACGCCGGACCAGATGAAGTATGGCAAGCTGAGCATCCGTTTCCACGGGGAAGAGGGTGTAGATGCGGGTGGAGTTACTCGCGAATGGTTCCAAGTTCTCTCTAGGCAAATGTTCGACCCTGGCTATGCTCTATTCATTCCCGTGTCTTCTGATCGCACTACATTCCATCCCAATCAATTGAGTAGTATCAACGAGGAGCATCTCATGTTCTTCAAATTCATCGGTCGTATCATCGGAAAGGCACTATATGAAGGTCGTGTTCTCGATTGCCACTTCAGCAGAGCAGTTTACAAGCGCATCTTAGGCAAGGCTGTTTCGGTGAAGGACATGGAATCTTTGGATCCAGACTATTATAAATCTCTCATATGGATGCTTGAAAATGACATTACTGATATCATTACCGAAACCTTCTCTGTGGATAACGACAAGTTCGGCGTTGTTGAGACCATTGACTTTAAAGAAAATGGACGCAACATTGCTGTTACGGAGGAGAACAAGCACGAGTATGTGAGATTGATGGTCGAATGGAGATTGACAGGATCTGTCAAGGCACAGCTTGATGAATTCTTAAAGGGCTTCCATGACATTATCCCTGCTGAGCTGGTTGCAATTTTCAATGAGCAAGAACTGGAATTACTGATTTCTGGACTACCCGAAATCGATGTTGATGATTGGAAGAGTAACACCGAATACCACAATTACTCGGCGTCCTCTCCGCAAATTCAATGGTTCTGGCGTGCTATTCGCTCATACGACAAGGAAGAGCGAGCCAAGTTGTTACAATTCGTCACGGGAACCAGTAAGGTACCTCTCAATGGCTTCAAGGAACTCGAGGGTATGAACGGTTTTAGTCGATTCAATATTCACCGCGATTATGGCAACAAGGAGAGACTTCCATCCTCTCATACGTGCTTTAACCGTAAGTTATACTATCAAAAGTCAAATATTTACTCCCCCCAAGCTAACCAATTTCACAGAACTCGACCTTCCAGAATACGAAAGTTATGAAACCCTTCGTACTCAAGTTCTCACGGCCATCACGGCAGGCAGCGAATATTTTGGGTTTGCATAAAGAGCAATTGCAAGGTCAAACATGTTTTTCTTTTTATTACGATATTATGCATCGCAGGCCTTTGATCAGCATTTGATGGCGTCACAGCTTTCTCTTTTGACGATATGTATGGGGCATGGTGATCTTCCATTTACTAAAGTGGTGGAATTATGGAGGATGGGTTTGCTTTTTCGTGGGTTGGAGGATACGAAATTAGGCAATATTAGGTAGTTAAATAGGGTGATGGATGGTAATATTTGGTTTGAGCTTCCGGGAAGGACTCTCTACAAACGAAGTGCAGGTTGTTTGCAGGATGAATTCCCTAGGAAAGAAGGATTAGATAGATGACCCATCAGAAACAAAACTCTCAGAGGAGAAACATGAATGTAAAATAGATAGCTTTTACTTAGTATTCGAAAATCATTATAGATTAATGATTTTAAGTCGTTTACCCGTTCATCCTATGCAAATAAGGAACGAGTCGTGATGATTATAAAGTACCGGTGTTAAATATAGATTGAAGATTAATAAATGGGATATTATTATAATATACCGAGTAAAATAGATATCTTTCACTCGATTATTTCGCATTCAGAATTATCACCCATGATGACGAGAACTGACTTGGTTCGAAAGATAATATCACGTGATATATAACCCCACCACCACTCACTAAACCCCGCAAAAAATATTTCTTTGCTTGTCATTCATTCATTCCCTCTTTATTCTCTTGGTTCTCTCTCTTGTGCTGGGTTGGCTTCCTTTTTTTTTCATTCAACACTTTTGATTACAACTCCATATCAAAAGGTTTCATATAATAAATAAATAATTGTATTCCTACCTACCTACCTACTTACCTAGCATAACATCGGTTTGTATAGGAAGAGCTCAAGTGCTGAAGAGTGAAGAGTGAAGAGTGAAGAGTGAAGAGTGAAGAGTGAAGAGTGAAGAGTGAAGAGTGAAGAGTGAAGGGCTGAGCGGATTAAAGGAAAGCGAAGGAAAGGGAATACCTACGAGAGATTGGATTGCATTGGATTGGATCGAATATCGGTAGAAGGGGAATTACTTGCGAACGAAGAACGAAGAACGAAGAACGAATACAGCGAAAGGACAGGATAGGAAAGGGAACAAAACGAGTGCTAGGGATTTATTCGCGACACCTGCGAATTCGTTGAAGAGGGAAATTATAAAAGCTTACGAGCGCGATAACGAGCGAGCGATAAGAAGGGAATTCATTAAAGAATACAATACCTAGGACGAGAAAGGAAAGAAAGACGAAATGGCGACAAATTCGATTAAGTTGCTTACGGGAAATAGCCATCCGCAGTTGGCGAAATTGGTTGCTGATAGGTGGGTTTTGTTTCTTTTTTTTGGGGGGTTTATTGGTTGGGGGTTTGTGGGTTGGATGGGATCTGCTTGTTTTGGGGTATTGGAACGATGGGGATGGATGATGGATGCTTGGACTTGTTATTTGATGCTTTCAGGATTGCGCTGGAGATGAGTCGTCGGAGTGTTGAGGTTAAGTGTAGATACGGGAGAAGATGTACTAACGAGATTCATTCCGCAGATTAGGCATTGAACTTGCAAAGACAATGAGCTTGAACTATTCAAATCAAGAAACCAGTGTTACAGTAGGAGAGAGTGTCAGAGATGAAGATGGTTAGTTCTCCTCGTCCCCTCCTCCCATTCCTATACTACGAACAAATGTCTAAATACCCCTCTTCCAGTATTCATCCTTCAATCTACCGCGCCCGGCGACATCAACGACGGACTTATGGAACTCCTCATCATGATCAATGCATGCAAAACTGCATCCGCAAGACGCATCACAGCCGTCATCCCCAACTTCCCTTACGCACGTCAAGATAAGAAAGATAAATCTCGCGCTCCTATTTCTGCGAAACTCATTGCGAATATGTTGCAAACGGCTGGTTGTAATCATGTCATTACTATGGATTTACATGCGAGTCAGATTCAGGGATTCTTCAATGTCCCAGTCGATAACTTGTATGCGGAGCCAAGTACTTTGAGATGGATCAGAGAGAATTTGGAGGTTAGCAAGTGTGTGGTTGTCAGTCCGGATGCGGGAGGTGCTAAGAGGTGAGCTTTTCCCTTTCTTCCTCACCTTTTCCAAAGGCATACCAGTAGATTTGCGAGATGCCAGATAAAGAGCAGATGGAGTACTTTCTTTTTGCTACGAAACTTAATAACTAATACCCCCCTAAGAGCAACCTCCATAGCCGACCGTCTCGATCTCGGCTTCGCCCTCATCCATAAAGAGCGCGCCCGCCCCAACGAAGTATCCCGCATGGTCCTCGTCGGCGACGTCGTCGATAAAATTGCCATCCTCGTCGACGACATGGCCGACACTTGCGGAACCCTCGTCAAAGCCGCCGAAACCGTCATGGAACACGGCGCCAAAGAAGTCGTCGCCATTGTTACCCACGGTATCTTGAGCGGTGCCGCGATTGAAACCTTGAACAAGAGTAAATTGAGCAGAGTGGTCGTTACAAATACTGTACCATTGAAAGGAAAGGAGGAACAGTGCCCCAGATTGAGGGTTATGGATATTAGTGCCACGTTGGCCGAGGCTATTAGGAGGACGCATAATGGCGAGAGTGTGAGCTTCTTGTTCACGCATGCGCCTATGGATTAGATGGGGGATTCAAGGAACTAGAGTCGTGTCGTCGTAGTGATGTAAAAGTTTCCTAGGTCAACATTTCGGATTTGAAAGATGGATGCATGGATGCATGGATGGGTAGATTCAACTGGGATAAACAATGGTCTGGTCATTGCAATAAGTTTGTATTTACCGGTAGATCATCCACTTGCAGGGATAAGATGAATTGGAATCATTACATACATACATATGATATGGTGTGGTCCCTGCATATGTATATAGATGCGCTAGAAGACAAAAGTTGGAATCAACATTATAACTTACTATCATGTGTACCTCATAAGATCGTTATACTAAAAGGCGAGGTGATGTGCGTGTAATCTGCCTACGGTAGACTAGGATGCATTGGGCTCATGGGGATAGAACATGGTAGGATGGTGAGCGAAAGGAAGAGTGGAAGGTATCTTGCAACTATGAGAGCTCGAGTATGGGATGGGGTGTATTTGGGATGAGCTGCGGAGGTGGAGAAAGGGAGGTAGTCAGGAAGATTAGACGACGAGAGACGGCTAAAAAGGAGAAGCAGAAGCGTGAAATTTGAGGAAGGAGATCATCAACTGCATTTATCTATATTGGACACATCAAAACATGTTATTAATAGCACATCATTGGATTCCAGAAACGCCTTCCTAAGTAGTAATATGCAGTCCATTTTAAATTGGTATCTAGCATTCTGGTATAATGCTTTTAGGTGATACACCTTGTGAACCCGGCTGAGAATTCATTCCACACGCCAATCATCCATAAATACTACCATCTTACTCAACTTGTACCCTCTACTTACGCATAGAAGAAGCTCTACGCTTGCGGGCATCGACCTTGGCGTGCTTGGCCTCAGAGACACGCTTGGCAAGGGTAGCGGCGTATTCGTTCTGTTCATAAATATTAGTTCGTGGATCGTAGGAATAGAGTGCCAGAGTAACATACGGCAGCATCCTTGGTACGCTCAGAGTTGCGGCGCTTGAGTGCGATTCTATGACGCTTGTGTTGGAGACGTTGAGGAGTAACCAAACGTTGGATCTTTGGTGCCTTGGTGTATGGCTTCTTTCCCTCACCCTTTGGCTGAACCTCACGACGGATGACGAACTTACGGACCTAAACCAAATATATCAGCATCTCGCTTTGGTTTTACTTCTCACACTCTATCCTCAAGCACCAGCACGAAGCGGTTGAGAGAGATAGGCGATAGAATGATGTAGGGAAAACGTACATCATCCTCCTTGGTGAGCCCAAAGAACTTTCTAATCTTGGTGGCACGCTTGGGGCCCAATCTCTTGGGGTGGACAACGTCGGTGACACCTGGAATGTCGCTATCTCCTTGCTTGACAATGCTCAAAGCGAGAACGGACAGATCCATGGCGACAATGCATCCACGGACGGATTTACGCTTGCGCTCACCAGTTCGGCGTGGGCGGTAGCAAGAGTGTCCCTCGGAAAGGAGAAGGCGGACACGGGTTGGGTGCATAACACCTTGCTTCATTGGGAAACCTTGCTTGTCGTTACCTCCGGTAATCTTGAAGATGTATCCCTTGAACTCGTCTCCGACGGAGTCTCCTGGAACCTCAGCGCCCATTCTGTCGAGAAAACATTAGATTATGTCGTTCGTAATCGATTTCGCGAAAATATACCTCTTGTCCATGAAGACACGGAGCTTGCGCTCGTCTTCAATATCGATGAGCTTTTGACTGCCATTGGCAGGCTATATTTTGTCAGTTCGAATTCTTTGGTCGTTTGGTATTGAATGGGTCGAAACGTACGAATGAAATGTTCTATCAATCAAAATAAATTAGCAGATGCTCAATAAATCAATTCCAACTCAACAGGATACATACCAACTTCATCTTGACGGTGGTGAATGGTCAAGTGGTCGAGGGTTGTCGTCGATAATTTGTCGCTGAGAGGAATGAGGAAGTTCAAGATCTTTTGGCAAAATTGCGAAATTCTCAGTGCGGCACGCTAGTGTCATTAGCGCGAAGAGCTCAGTGTGGATCAACAACCGAGATCATGTGAGAGCCCAATTTCGGATCGGTCAAACATTCTACCATGCTAGTTAAGTATCAATGAACTCTTCTCAACCTTGATGTTTACTTCACGTTACGCATGCGAGGAGCTGCTATTGAGACTAAAGGCATAAATATCATAGATCATAGATCATCACTTCAAAGATTTCTAATAATGATTCCACTTCACACGAGTGTCGATCTCCCAATCACAACCATAGAAAATCCTCTACCGAAGCTTCTCCAAACGCCATCTGGATTGGCCCTGTTAGAGCTTCAAGGGACGATCAATCTCCCAGAACCAGACCTCGAGGATGATGATACATCCAATATTCCAGATTCCTCAGCACAGAGCCTTCAGACACCAATTGGTCGCCTCATTTTTCCCGAATATGATCCCGGAAATCCAGATAGCACCAAGTGGATGAAGCGCGTTTACCTTTACGTGGGCAAGCATCAAAGACTTACAGGAGAGGTCAAGAAACTCCCAAGGGCTTTCGCTGTTATTAGGAAGAAGGAGACTGGGTTAGCGTCTCGAACAAATGGCGACAGTTCGATGCAAGGTGTCGAGTCCGAGGCTGGAGACGAGCTGGAAATTGTCGAAATTGTGAAGTGGAAAATTTTGTTCTCTACAAGACCCGAGCCAGTGGGAGCTGTGGTTACCGGCACCACTTGAATTTTGAAGCAACATCAACGTCCATTTTGGATGAATGAATTGCAGTTGAAGCAACGTTTACCCATCTAACACCGACTACTGAATAAGAAGTTCATGGTCAGGACACACTCAGAGCAGCTCTGTCTCTCATGCCATCGACCTATCTATCCCCACGAGTCTTGCCCAAAATTGCTTGGCTATCTTGCGATTTGTGGTACGGAACCATCGGCAGGGAAATACTTCCATTGATTGGTCTCTTTCCCGAGCTTTTGCGATTACGATGTCTTACCGGGAAGGATATATGATAAGAAGAGAGGAGAGGCCTTGAAGCATTTCAATTTGATCCGATGGATTCAGAGACCGATCGTCATTGTCACATTCAAAGCTATAGATGGTCTGGAATAATGCAGGGTAGCGGTGAATATGAAAGCATTGTTTGGGCGTCAATCTCACTTTGAGCGTAGGTTTCGGTGAATAATGGAAGAGATACCTTTCGAGTCTGCATCATTCCCTAGGGCTGTGATATTGATATGCTGTCCAGGCACAATCACAAGGGTATTTTCTTATGAAAGTAACGGAATCTTGATGTCACGTTAGATTCTGACTCAGAAATTACTGGAAGAAACTTATAAGCTGGCTTTGGGTAATGAATAATAAAGAATTTGAGGAAAATTCTCGAAATTTCGAATCATAATTATCCACATGAGCATTTGTTAAGTTATGTTCATTAAGTTATTTCAAGGTTTCTTTCTCATCTTTTTCCTCGCTTTCAACCTCCAACTCAAATATTCAACGAACAGATCAACCAAACTCATAACATAACGCAGCAGTGCCTCAAGCTTCCTCTAATATGAAGTCGATCCTTTCGATGTATCATTCATTCTTATTGTCCATTCTTATGGGCATTTTCCTATCTGATGCGCATACTTTCACGGAGCCCAGAGCCGCGCTCATATCCAATAAATACTCTCATATTAGCAGGCCTTTCAAAGCAGAGTTGTATAATAAAGTCAAAGTCCTCACATCTATCGATCTCAAACGACCCTCTACCGACACACCCACATCATCCTTCCTCCCCAGCATTCAAAATATCGCCTTCCTAACCACCCTCTCAGCACTCGGTATCTACACCCCAGCTGTCATCGGCATCGGCATCATGACAAGTCATGTACAGGCATCCTCTTTTCCTGCCTCGGGTGGCTTGAGTTCGAGTCCGCGGTGGAAGTCAAGCCCGATCGATCATAAACGAAGACGCAGGGCACATCCTAGAGATGTTTCCGTTGCAGGTCCTGATACCCAAGATAAATACTCTTATCATGTGGCCGAAGTTCTCGTTAAGAAGTTTGAAGAACTTCTCGGACGGGTAAATGGACAGTATCCCAGATTCAAGAGCCCGGGACATCTTCCAAAGTTCGCCACTTTGGGTAGAGAAAATGAAAATAAGGGTGAATCAGCAGATGCTCCGTCATGTGATTCATCCACAAATTCAGAAAATCAGCTCACTCCCGCAAAATCAGGTTTGCACCCCAGGACCTCGGATTTTGACACGGCTAATAACAATACCTGCCATACTACAGATCTCAAAATCCGGCAAAATGACAATACGCTCCAGCCTACAAAGGACGCACTTGTCTCCAGAGGTTCGTGGGAAACTTTCATACATGCCTGTTTTCTCCTAGCGGAAAAGTGGGACGCAGATGTACACAACTGCGTATAAGCACAGCGCTCGAATTTTCGGCAATTTAGACGCACCCAATGACTAATGCTAATACGTGCCACACTGCAGATCTCAAAACTCGGCAAAATGACAAGACACTCCAATCAGAAGTAACCTCGCTTGTGCGTCGGGACCCGGAATTCTCGCAATTCTGGCAAAATCTCATACATTTGTGTTGGGGCCCTGGTATGCATTGGAACGGGAATGGTTGTGGCTCTGATTGATAGATACTTGGTTGAGTATCATACTGGGAGGCTCGGTGGTTTGCATATTAGTGGGCGGCTTGCTCGGTTGTCGGTTTGGGAATAGATATACTGGGAGGGTTCTCGGTATGGTGTTACTGCTGGTTAGGAGCAATGACGTGAAGTTGATAATTGAGGCTCAATGTTCTAGCATGGAGTTATGGTTACTAGATATTATACTTACAATAGTTGATACGATGGGTTATATTTCAATACATTTCTGGGTGTTTAGTATAATGACAGATTTTAGACGACAGTGCCTTGAGTACACAATCTGAAAGCTGGTATTGAACGGCATAGATCGAGTGTATAATGATGTAAGCCTTTCCATTTCCCAACCTCGAGACGAACATCCCGGAGTTGTATCTCGAATCTTTCCAACCAAGCTATTGAGAATACACCTTCCATTGTTCGCACAAAGCAAGGTAGGTTACATACGACACGTGCCAAAATGTACCTTGCAAAGCCACCAAACAGCAAACGGTCACCTCATCGGAAGAACGGGCCAATCCACCCTACAAGATCCCCCCTCTATCCCCAGCCAAAACATTCCACATCCCCTCAACCTTCTCCACCACCCCATCAGGTAGCGGTCCCTTAGTTATACTCTCCACATTTTCCCTCACCTGAGCGATTTTACTAGCGCCCAAAATAATAGCATCCCCCACTCCCAATCTCGAAGGATAATACATCCATCTCAAGCTCGCTTCTCTTCCCAAAACACCCAACGGCGCCAAAGAACCCTCAAGATCCTTCATCGCTTGTTGTAATTTAGGATCTCCGTAGAGTTTCTGGAAGGCTTTTCCGAGTGGATGGGCGTCGCTAAATCGGGTATCGGTGGATTTTCCCGCGCTGAAGTTTCCGGTGAGGAAACCGGAGGCAAGGACTCTGTGTTATTTTGGTTGGTACAGTGATATTTCAGTATAGGAATGCTTGACTTGACTCACCTGAAAGCGTAGAAAGATATCGAGTGGGCTCTTAGGATAGGCAATAGTGATTTCTCCATTCCTCGGGTTATGAGGTTATAATCTCCTTGGTATACAGAGGGTTTCACGAAATCATTGTCCTCGCAGATTTGGATGAATTCTTCGAGTAATTTGGGTGGGAAGTTTGAGACGCCGAGCTTTGTGTGATTTGTATCAAAGTATACAGTGAGTTCGGATGTGAAAGGAAGGACTCGCTCTCTTAAAAGAACCCTTTTTGAAATGGTGATTGAGGGCCGCAGCTTGCTCTTTCAATGGAGTCGTTGGATCGGGTTGGTGGCAATATAGGATGTCGACCTTGTGTTGAAAAGTCAACATCAATATCATTCCATCATAATAATCACAATTGAACCATACCTGGTCAACACCCAGACGCCTGAGACCTAGAGCAACGTCAATACCTATCCCAAATATCTTCACAGTTTGACATAACTTCGAATGTTCAGTCTATGTTGTTCAACCTTCTTCCAGACATCAATTCTTCCTATTCCGTCTTGCCCGGTGAAGCCAGTTTGTTGTTCCATATTGTTCCATTGATGGTGTAAGAATCCATACTGTCAATTAGTTTCGTCAGTATATTTTCAATTATTGATTGAAATTCATAAGAACTTTTAGTTCTATTGATACAATTAATTATTCAGACTAATGGTTTAACTTGATGAATCCAAACTACCAATCGGTTAGTTTGTATGATTTCAACTGCCAGTTTCTCGACTGGTTCAAACTGCTGACTACACTGTACAAATACAAGAGACGATAACTATGGCAAAAGAGATCTTTTATTCCGGGAGCAAGGCCCAAAATTCCGCTGTTCGCTATTCGCTATTAACTAAAAGCTATAATACATGTAATTTCTTGAATCCGCACAGGGTGGTGTAACAAACACAACGATGCCGCAAAGTCCAGCCTCCACCATCAGCCTCATATCAAATATCCAACGGTCCAAGTCAGCAGTGCTATACATCAGTGCAAGAGGAATCGCCCATTAAATCAACATCCAACAGTCCAATAGTCCATAAAGTTGCCATCCCAAATTGAAAGCTCTATTTGGCAGATACCGTTACTCAAAAACGAAACTGAAGACGAAAGCTCCTATCCCAGCTTTATCCGACTCACTATTCGCGAATGGAGTCCAGACGCATGGTGATGATGATGAGACGAACGACCTCAGGTGTTAAGACTGTCAAGTTGGTCGTAAAAAGGGTTCGGAGTACGAGGCACATCCTGAAACTCCATATCAAAGCCTTCGTCGAGTCTTTGCATTCTCTGCATAGTGCCGTGGGTAACGTGCTGGATTCTTGGTAATGTAATGTGGGCGAAGTCCTCTTGTCTGGCAAGCCACTCTGCGTTGTTCTTGGCACCAGAACTTCGTCTTCTCCACGCCAGAATTAAAGTGACTTCCGCGAAATTATGGAGATTATGTGGTCCGATATCCACACCGCCAACAAGATACTCATGGCCTTTGCTCTGTTCTATGCATAACATTTTGAGCTTCCAGAAGTTTGCCAACCGCACACGCTTTGAGGTTAATTTCCAGCTTATATTCATTCCATCGTTGCTAAAAGCCAGAAAGTTAATATTATCAGCAATATCGTCGATAAAAGAAACGTCAGGTTTGGCCCGGATGTTTCAAATTTTCAATTGGTTACTCAATGCATCATTGTAGGCGACAGCGAGTCGCTATGCTCATATTCGCCAATTTGGGGGACCAGTGCTCGCTTGATGAACTTTCTCGGCGGGTCAGTCAATTCTTGCGTGAAGACTTCCCACGCCTGATGGCTTGCGAAGTGAAGAGTGTCCGTGTCAAAATCGATACAAATCGACACGCCTTTGCATCGGTTCCAGTACGTCATATGGTAATGTTTCAAGGCTACTATCCTTGCTATTCGACAAGTATGTAACAACGCTGGTAGTCTGGATAGCAACGGCTCTTCTGAATGTAAGAATGGTATCGTCGGTTAAAGGATCGTGGGCTTCCAATGTCTCTTTTTGAGGGGTTCCTTGCTCCAGATCGAGGTTAATCGTAAGATCGGCTTGACGGATCTGATAATCATGCTCGGCGATGGTGATGATACGAGGGCCTGGCAAAGCGAGTTTGAAAATCATCGCCTGGAGCTCTATGGGAAGTCTCCGAAGTGGTTCATAGGTTTCAGCAGCGACCTGCGTAAGAATTTGTGATCTTGGAGAAGGCATAGTGATTTCTCAACTATCTTCTGTACCCGGTAGAAAGAGTGGCTGTTGAAAGATCGTGAGAAGATATGTCGGCTTGCAAAATCAATAGTCCTAAGGTTTGATGTTGTTGAGCAGTTGTACTTCCTTGAGAAATGCAAGGAAATCAGGAATATTGGTTCAAAGCTCTAGGTTAAATCATACAAACCTTTTGATATGATGCAGAATTCGAAGAGTCTATCGAGAACTAACCTGAGTTGACAAGACGGCTATTGTCAATTTGTCCAATTGCTTGGATTTCTTATATCAGGAGCTTGATCTGTTGCTAAGCGGGTTCGAAAGGTAAGAATATTGCTAGAGGGTCTCCAGAAGGGAAGTTGAAATTCAATATCAGAACTTATGTATATTACTGATTCCTTTCGAATAGAAATCGAGAAAACGTGGCGAGAAGTAGATAAATAAACATGAGTGAGCGTTCCTTCTTCTTTTGGATAAGCGTTGCAGAGTTGCAGAAGCGCATCAAGAAATATTCCTCTGTCCCAGTCTCTCTCTAATTGCAAGAAATGAGATTATTTCGAGTATGAACTTGGTGAAAGGGCTTTTTTCGAAAGTGATTTAGATTAATCATTGGCGGGCATTACTTTTTAGTATTTTAGTTTTTTTCGCCAACGCCTAAAACGGAGAGGGGTTGGTACATACAAAATGCTGCGAGAGGTGCATAGAGTAGATACTGTGTGGAATAGAGTCGAGCGATATGAACGAAGGTAAGACGAAATGTATAAATCAGTGTTAGACAATGTATACCTACCTAAGCAAGATAGGTGTAATACAACATGTTAGTTGGAGTGGAATATAATAGTAGATACTACAATTTACATTCGAAGAACGAGAGTAGATTGTGTAAAGCGTAATAATATAGTGGCAATAGGTGAACTAAAGCCGATTCATCGTTAGAAAGAATTGATATTCAGGTGTACCTTCATGAAGTATCTGAGTAGTGCTCTACTTTCCACTGACTCAATCCCATGCACATGTCTCATTATGAATATTTTACATGGTGTTAGCTGATTGTGTCTGTGCTATAGTTTTACCTTTGCCTAGCTAGAACCTTTAATGCTGAGGGCAATGATCTCCTGGTGTTCGTACCTTCGATGGGGGATGCGGACTTATTAGGACTGCTTTGAAATCCAAAGTCGATGCTGTCTTGCTGATCTAGAGTAGTGATTTTCGGAATTGAGACATGTTTCATGGGTGGAAGAGCTACATCGATGTCAATATTTTAAAGTAAGAAAGATCACTTCAGGAAACGAAGCTTCCGTTTATGATGTAGTATTTATGTTTGACTAAAGATCTCTCCCCTCTGACTTCTGCCAGAGGACTGAACTCATCTACATTTAAGATCGCCTTCTTTGCTTTTTTCTTTGGCCAGTTAAACGCCTTCCCTGATTGTAACCATCCCTTGAACCCTGAACATTGGACCGCGGCGCTGTAATTTTAGTTCTCTCGATGAACCCACTAACATCCATCTCTCCTCACTGCCTATAACTTAAGCTTAACTGTGGACCCCACTTCCCAAATCTCTCGACAAATGCCTCTTTCGACAAAAAGTCTATCTTCGAGAAATATTCATCCGAAGAGAACCTCAAAAGTTCCATTCTCAATTTATATCGCTTCTCAAGCCAGTCTAATCTTTCCCAAGGCACCGTATCCGATTCTTCATGACTAGCCATGCCTAGAACCAGGGTATCAAATCTGTTGCAACTCCAGTTTATATACTCAAGTGCTCTCCTTCGGAGGTTCTGCATTCTCTCTGTTTGTCTGTTTGCGTATCTTTCGGCATCCCGACGATTGACAAACCCAAATGATCCTCTTCCTACAATCGAATCCGTTGCTATCGCAAAGTGTTTGATGTGATCATCAAGACGCTCTCTTGGATTCAAATCTTGGCAAGCAGAACATGGATTTTGATGATTCCAGCCCCTATGATGGGTCCTGCATGTAGAACATTGAAGATTGAACGGTAAATCTTCCTCATCAGTGGGAATCTGTGGTCGACGATTTGCTTGAATTGCTGCTGCCATTGAGGCTTCCCCAGTCTGTACAAACGCGTATTGAAGACAGAAAGTACTAAAAGTAAACCAATCGGCAAAATGAAGTATGTCAATATCTTTGCGAAAGTAAACCGTCTTTCCGTCTCCGAATATTGACATTAGAAAATGGCTTTTCGAGTACATTTCCTGGCCGACATCCTTGGATTCTTGATTGACATATAGAGAAGCTGGACTCCTGTAAGATAAGGCAGGTTGCGCGACCCATGGAAAGGCTGATCCCGTATCAAAGGCACGAGAGTGCAGGCGGATCTTGATATATACACGTTGTTCTAATTCCGGAACGTACGTACAACGATCATTGTTCTTGGGATCCCCGGTGTGTTTGGCTATGATGGTGAGAGTGCGACGTGGTCCAAAGTTTTCTTCTTCTTCTGCGTGACACTTCCAGACCATACGGCGAATCTCTGTTGGAAAAAGACTGAAACGATGGAAGGTTTTAGCTTGGGGTTCTGGTTGCGCCGTGGTTTGAGTATTGATTGCGTTTGTGGAAGTTGAAGCTGCTGTTATTCATGATTAGTCGGATTCTATTGTAGCAGGTGAGAGGAAAAGGTTGAAGCACATACGTGTAATTCTCGGCGGATTAGCTCTTGGGGGTGATGCACCATACAAATTCCATTCTTCGTCGACTGGTATAGATCTTTCACCTTGAGGAACTCTAGGCTGATTTATATCCATAGTATCACCATACTCAATCTCAACCACATTAGTCACATTCGCACCTTCACCGCCGCCCCCACCTATTGCGCTATCATCCATATCCATACTGCCTATAGTTCGCGGCACATCAATAGGAAGACTCGCACTGGGCATATCCTTGTCTGGTAAGTTAGGTGATGTTCTTATTGATGTCTAAAAAGTTAAATTACAGGAAAGCAAGAGCCTTATATGTGTATTGAGGGATCAGTGTTAAGCGCTAGTACTGCATGCACTTCGGCTAAATGCTACGGCATTTATTGATCATTCCTATTATACGCTGTTATCTTAACTAGGGTTGGGCGCTTTATATAAAGTAGTGCTAGGTTATATATAAAGTGTAATCACACTAGCATCTAGCTGTACTATTATTCACTTTACTTTTGTAATAGTATACAAATCACATGTAATAATCTAAGTGATTTACGTCAATACATATGATAAAAATACATTTTTAATCCTTATCCTGATATTGACCAAACCCTATCGTGTAGTGTAAAATGTGATTCTTTTCCGAAAACGATGTAGCTTAAAACCCGAAAACGAGAAGTTGACTATGGCTTGCAGTGAAATGAACTAATCCTAATGAACATAACTTTTTGCGGAACCAGAAGTGTCATCTCACTTGAATAGTTCTTCAAATGAGAGCGCACTGAAGGTAGCCGTACCGTAGCAATGTAGTCAAATATTCTGCGGTTTCTTCGTTTCGTAGAAACTTGGACAGCAAACTACTCTAAGCATCTACTCGAGTATACGAAGGACCAATCTAATCGAATATATACTCTTCGGGAATGATTAGAATGGTTATTTTCGAAGAGTATATGTCTAGTCCGTATCGAAACTATAAGATAATGGGAGTGAGAAGCTTATTCGTTGAATGATTCACTCAACAATCTAATACTGTATGATTAAAACTATTTGATAATTGTATCCCAAGATCGTTTGGATACAGAATTCATGATCCTATAGTACTGGACAGCTGATAATTTGTCTATCAGGATTTTACACCAAAACTATACCTCTCTCTTTTCAAACAAATCACAAAGACTCAGAAAGTTTCATATATTCCAAGGAGTTATATTGGGCTATTGAAAAAAAATCTTTCCCAGCCTCAGATGATGAATCTTGTCACCCAAGCCCGATATCTCAAAATATAGTTACTCAACAGTATAGCATTTAGTGAAACAACCAAACCACAAATTAAATTCAAGGACTCGCTTGTGGAACTAATAAGCTCCCGCATTTGCCGACCTTTACGTCTCATTGAATTAAGTGAATCGGACAACCTGGTTAGCCATTGGATATCTTACCCGGGGCTTGAGGAGGTTCAGAAGAAGATCGAAGAAGAGTGGTCGGGTTTCCAATAATGTCTGTACGTAGTACGTAGGCTGCAGTGACTAAATATGGAGATAAAATTTTGGGCAAATCCCCTGATTTCGAGGAAGGTGGTATGAACCGTGACATTATGATTCGTTGAAATATATACCTGCAACTACTTAAACCACCACATCGGGATTACTTTCCCCCATCATCGCCACTATCAACAAATTAATGATCTCTTTATACGAGCCCCAATAAGGGTTATATTGGTTCTCCCTAGCCAAATTTAAAGCTGTCTTTGCATTAAAGGTTTCCACTTTGAGATCCGCACCAGCTTCAATGAGGAATTGTACGCTATCTTCGCGGCCGAACTTCGCAGCTTTATGTAATGCAGTTTCCCCATTTTCATCCCTCGCTTCGATATCAGCACCAGCTTTAATAAGGATTTGTACACTACCTTCATAGCCTTCCTTCGCAGCTCTATGTAATACGGTTTCCCCATCTTTACCCCTCGCTTCGATATCAGCACCAGCTTCAATGAGGACTTGTGCGCTATCTTTGTAGCCTTTCTTCACAGCTGTATATAATGCAGTTTCCCCATTTTCATTCCTCGCTTCGATATCAGCACCAGCTTCAATGAGGACTTGTATACTATCTTTGGAACCGAACTTCGCAGCTTTATATAATGCAGTTTCCCCATTTTCATTCCTCGCTTCGATATCAGCACCAGCTTCAATGAGGACTTGTATACTATCTTCGTAGTCTTTCTTCGCAGCTTTATGTAATGCAGTTTCCCTATATTTACCCCTCGCTTCGATATTAGCACCGGCCTTTATTAGAAGCTTCATAATTGCAGTATCTAAAATAGAGTGCATGAGAACAGTCTTTCCTCGACATAAGGCATTAATGTCGGCTCCAAAGCGAATGAGTTCTTCGATAATACAAATATTGTTATCTTCAAATGAAATAACGGCCTGTTTCAATGCAGTACCATAATGACTGTGCTTGTCAGCATCGACTTCCGCTCCTGCTTCCAGCAATCTTTTCAAAACTTCAAAACATCCCGACTCAGCTGCCACAAATAGAGCAGTGACATGCTGATCATTCTTCGCTTCAATGTCTGCCCCCTTTTCCAACAATAAATCGACAATATCCGGGAGATCAAATAAGGCGGCTTCTGCCAAGGGGATTGATCCAGACACATCTACTGCATTGATATTAGCTCCAGCCGCTATCAAGACCTTGATGACTCCTGTCTGACAGAATTTGATGGCGATGTGGAGTGGAGTTTCAAGGTTATTCTGTGGAATATCTATTAGAGAAGGCTGAGCGGAAACGAGCTGTTCTACGATATCTATATCACCTCCCCTGGAAGCTTTGTGGAGTGAAGTCTCCCCTCGATCATCTTTAGCAAAAAGGTTTGCTTTCGAACTGATTAGGACCGAAACTGCAGAAGATTGGCCAAGTTCTGCTGCCATCAAGACTGGTGTGTAATTATTGGAGCAAGTTGATTCGATGTCTGCTCCCGATTTGAGCATTATGCAGATGATCTTTGGTAAGCCAAGCATAACAGCAGCAACGATTGGAGGAGGAAACTCAATCCAGTAACTTAGTAGGCCGACACACTTCATGGTAGCAGACCAACTATTTACGCATATTCTTTGGTTGAGAAAATGTAGGATCTCATCCGTGAGTTCTATCTCCGCCGTACCTCGAGCATGTGCACCCAAATATCGGCTTGCATAAGACAAGAGAGCATGATTCTCAAGTCGAGTTTTGACAACTGTGAAGTCAAGATCCCTAGGTTCTTTGAAGTCATCTAAAGACAGATATCTCATGCAAGCCCGAGTCATTAAGACTTGAGCATTAGGAAAGAACTTGGCGCGATGCCGTTTAAAGTATTCCTGAAGAGAAAAGTGGCATACACGAATAATGTCGCTCTCTGGATCAACTACCACGAGACCGGCACAGACTGTTAAAAGCAAGTCTTGGTCGTAGAAATCTTCTTCGTCCAATTCATTCTCGTCAGAGTCGAATTCCATGACAGCTACCGCATGCTGGAGCTCGCGCACAGTCAATCGTCTTTTTGAACAAGAGAGCCACATCAAGATGTTTATTGCTAAGCTTTTACGGCTTGCGTCTTGACCTTCCATGATTCTCTTCATGGCTTCATCATACGTGCTGTCCAGGATTTCTGGCAGGCCAGTCAATGCTTTCTTAACACGGCTGATCTTAAGTTCTGAAGCAATAGCTTCCATGTGCATATGGGCGAGAAGGAACCCAATTTATGAATCAGTACACGAGATGAAGATAAGGGAACTTGGCATGACAAACATTCCGTGAGCCTTCTCCGCGATCTTTCCTACGATTGCCTTCCGTAAAGTCGGATCCTTCTTGCAAAATTTGAGAATATTCTCCTCTTTATCTATGCGAGCTTCCAGGTACGCCCGAACATCACTGTTGCTGGCTCGAATTTCGAGATGTGGAGAATTAGACAACTTCTCTTCGATATCCCCAAGATGTCGTGACGTAAGGAGAAGGTGTGTATTTGATGGCAGATTCCGCAAGTCGCGAATGAGATCAGTTCTGGTTTTATTCGTGTCCTCACATTCGTCTAAGGCGTCAACAACAATGTATAAATGAGGGAATTCGCAAATTAATAGATTGAGTAAGGAGGTAACCTCATCTCGACTAAGATGCGTTCCCATGGACCTATGTTTGTGATATAAGTCAAGAACACAATCTGGGGTGACGTATCGTTGTCGAATGAGCTGCTGTAAAATACTACCAAGATGTTCTGAGATCGTTGTTTTCTCTGCGTAATTGCAATACAAGAACGCGACCCCGATTTTCATGGCTGAAAAACTCGTTTCCAAATTGTCGACGATGGCAGAAGTAAGAACTGTTTTGCCGGCTCCGGGTGAGCCTGAGCACCATAGTAGCTTCTCCTTCCCATCTAGCCAATTTCGATATTCCCGGCTTTCGAAAAGCCATTCACCGGTTCCTTCTTGTCTTCGGCTCAATATCTCGCGTTGCTTGGAGTGACAGTCGATTGTCGATAACCATTTGAGGACTTTGATACTTTCCTCGTCCATTTGTTGAGTAATGATAGCATCTACACCATCACTAATCGTGGTGACTTGTTTCGAGATATCAATAACCTTCTCCGCGGTCATGGAAACTGTAGACCTAGCCCATGATTAGTATTAGTATTTTTTGAATCTTTTGGGGAATTTGAGGCATACAAGTTTAGAGTATCCATAGCAAGAACCAAATTACTCCTCACGTGTTCAATGCTCTCTTGTAACCTCATCAATGTGCTCTTCCTGAATGGATAGAGAATTCTTCGTCCCTGTTCTGTCATCTTGTCCTTAAATCTTCCATAATCGAGGCCCTTGCTCGCCGTCAAATCATCTTCGTCTATCCCTGAAGGTTTGTAAACCATGACCTTCTTCAATTCCTCATGCAACTCTGTGATACTTTCTTTGCAGTCCAAAATCCTAGACTCCACAGTTACAGCCATTGTTTTATCAAAAACTGGACTTCGTAAAACGCCTTCCAACAGCGCTAAACTCGACAAAAGACTCTCAATAGACTTGATCATGTCTGCATTTTCCTTTTTACTACCTTTCCAGGCACTGTAATAATTGACAAGCCCCTCGCAAACCTGTATCCCCGCGGATAAGATGCCAGCAATATTGCTGATTGCCCCTATTGCTTCCATGGCTCTTGTGAGTCTAATAAACCTGTATATGCTTGTATAGGTCTTCGATAATATCTGGCCGTTCAATGTGCAAATCAAATTCGGAGATTGATTTGTGAAATCAGCCCAAAGTCATGAATTGTTGAAATAATATTTAATCCCAATTTAAAATCTGAAATAGTATAAAAGCGTTTGTGGCCAAGAATAGTGAGGATGATATCTTGAGGATATATGTCAAAAGCTGGAAGCGTGATGGCCATGTGCGGCTGACGGTAATACAAGCGTCCACAGACGAGAGTTTCGAATCCGAGAGAAGTGAGTGGAAAGATATTGTGAAGTTGTACTGTATAGCATGAGAACCAGAAGAGAAATTACCTGTATACCTACATAGTACTCGATTTCATTTCTCGTTGGGTGTCAATTGTGGCAGAGTGAGTGCATTGCATTGCAGGAGGCTGTGTGTACTAATGTCCAATCTCAGCTAACTGAACTTAAGCCCTTACCCCCTTTGGTCAAGTTGTATATTAGAGCTGAAGCTAAGCGAATTATATGATTGAAAGATTCAATAGACGGTATAGGTAATCAAATCAGTGTACAGTGTACACTGTACATCCCAGACAGAAATCAGTTGCAGGCCTCGGTGAACCCCGGGAAAGCATCCTTCATCAGCCTTCATGTAACCTATATGTGGTAGTGTTGCTAGAAAGTAAAGCCGTAAGGTCAACAACACAGTGGTATTTTGGTTGAGTCGAGTTGAGCTTGTATATATAAATAAGTCTCCAGCGAAGTCTACGCCGGTGATCCTAAAACACGCTAACCCATTTAACTTTAGTGTAATTCGACCCCTTCATCGAGGCGAAGATAGCCGTGACTACTCGAGTAGAGCATCTTGATCAATTTTCGATATGAGAGTTTCCTGAGGATATGGTTGAGTTTAGGTACCTTATACACTTAGAGCCATATTCTCACCAGATGATCAATAAACGCTTTGTCAGTATGGCCACGTGATTGATAAGGTACCCCGGATTTCTCCATTCCGGGAAGTGGTTAGCATGTGAAGATGCGCCGAGGATAATCCAAGTAAGCAATCAGCGCGTGCAACAATAGCAATGTAATGATTTCGAAAGCAAAACGACGACATTATACTTGAGATCTCATCTGGGTTCTTTGATCAGTAACTCATTGCACCTCCTCATGAAGCCTTTAAATTTGCAGACTCGCTGAGCTGCTCACAACAGTATCCCCAGAGTCTGTTTACAAGCTCATCAAAATGGCTGCACAATCCAAAATACATTTCCTGCCACCCGATCGAACGATTAAGAGTATAATATCGGATCTCACATCATTATACCTCAAACATCGAACGAAGATCTCTCGAACGGTTTATCTGACATTATTCTTCGCTCTCCTCAATCGAATACGTTCTGCCATTTCCGAACAAAAGGCTGCAGCAATTCGTCATGCGGAATCGCGACGAAGAGGTCTGGTTACTTTAGGTAGCGGCGTGCAGGGAACGGAAAAGAAAAAAGTTGAGCTGAATAGAGAGTTCTTCAAGAATCTGATTCGGCTATTGAGAATATGCATACCGGGATGGAGGAGTAAGGAAATGCGACTGCTCGTCAGTCACAGTATTTTCCTTGTGATCAGAACTCTCATCAGTCTAAAAGTCGCTGCGATGGATGGTGCTTTGGTTTCGAGTTTAGTACGGGGCAAAGGGAAGAATTTTCTGATTGGCATTATATGGTGGATGTTGATTGCGATTCCTGCAACATTTACGAATTCTATGGTATGTGACATATGGACTCCTTTACTGCAACTAAGCTAATGTATAACATTTACAGCTCTCTTATCATCAATGCAAACTAGCGCTTCAATACCGAACTCGATTGACGAATTATGTTCACGATAGATACCTCTCGAATATGACTTTTTACTCCCTTTCCGCTCTAGATGACCGAATAAAAAACGCAGATCAACTGATAACTGTGGATGTATCAAAATTTGCGAATAGTCTGGCTGAATTATACGGGAATCTCGCGAAACCAGCATTAGATATGGCAATATACAATTATTCTCTCTCCAAAAGTGTTGGCGGCGAAGGACTTCTTTTTATGTCACTACTGGTACAACTTTCAGCCAATGTTATGCGAGCATTGACTCCTCCTTTTGGCAAATATGTGGCAGACGAAGCAAGGTTGGAGGGAGAATTCCGCTTTCAACATTCGAGATTGATAGATTACAGTGAAGAGGTTGCATTGTATAATGGACATGAAGCGGAAAAAGATACTTTGGATAAAGGCTATTTTACACTCATAAAACATGTAAATTGTGAGTATCCTCATACTTGGTTCTAGACCCCCAACTAATGCCATAATAGATATTTTAAGGCGGAGGTTCACGCATGGAGTTATGGAGGTATGGAAGGCAATGTCTCTTTTCCGGAAAGACACTAATTTCTTCAGGATTTCGTTATAAAATACGTATGGGGAGCTTTAGGACTTATCCTCTGTAGTGTTCCAGTGTTCTTCAAAATACCAGGTGCAACTGCAGCGACTATGGGGGATCGGACAGAAAGTTTCGTAACCAATCGAAGACTACTGCTATCTAGTTCCGATGCCTTCGGTCGAGTAATGTTCTCCTACAAAGAGGTTACCGAGTTAGCTGGATATACCTCACGAGTTGCAACTCTGTTGGAGGTCATGGATGATATCAAAGCTGGACGTTTCGATAAAACTTTGGTATCCGATGACGATTCTGGCGAACAACTTGAATTGATGAGAGGTAGAGGTACTGTCATTGAGAGTGAAGACATTGAATTCGTTGATGTGTATGTTCTGTTAAAGCCTAGTCCCTACAATAGCTAACTATCTTCAGGCCAATTATTACCCCTGGCGGAAGTATTCTCGTCCGAAAATTGTCCTTCTCCATGAAGCGTGGGGATCACGTTCTAGTAGTCGGTCCAAATGGATGTGGTAAATCCTCCCTATTCCGAATTCTAGGTGGCTTATGGCCCGTATATGGCGGTACCGTCCGCAAACCACCCCTTTCCCAGGTCTTTTACGTTCCCCAACGACCATATCTGAGCGCTGGATCCCTTCGTCAACAAATCATCTACCCCGACTCTCTCCGCACTATGCGCAGCAAAGGCATAACCGATTCCGACCTCCTTTCAATCCTTTCCATCCTCGATCTCGACCACCTCGTAACAGCTTTTCCAAATAGTTGGGACGCCGAAGCCGAATGGCGTGATGTTCTATCCGGTGGTCTTCAACAACGTGTGGCTATGGCCCGCCTCTTCTACAATCGGCCCAAATATGCCATACTAGATGAATGCACCAGTAGCGTCACCCTCGAGATGGAAAAAATCATGTACGAACATGCGAAGGCATTAGATATTACATTGATGACGGTAAGTCATCGCAGAAGTTTGTGGAAATATCATAGTAAGATATTGCAATTTGATGGGCAGGGGAAATATATTTTTACCGGGTTAGATGCGGAGAAGAGATTGAAGTTGGAGGATGAAAAGGAGGAGTTGGAGGCACATTTGAGGGCAATGCCGGAGGTTAAGAGGAGATTTGATGAATTGATGTTGGGGAGGGGGGAGTGAGGTGAAGTTTTGATTGGGAGTTGGAGGGGAGTTATGGAGGTGAGATTGCATACACACAATATGTACACCAATTTATTTGTCCGCCCTCCCATCACTATAGATACCCTCTACCCTCTGGTCATCGATACTCACCTCATCATCACGTCCTTTAAAACAAGGCATCTACCCCTAGTATCACATGATTTTTTACATCAAAATCCTTCCTCGAGAATCAGATATGCAACATAACTTTTTTTGAAATGAGGTGTGAGTGAATGCTTTGCTTTCCTCATCTAATCTCTTCAATCTCACCTGTAAATCAAGGCAACTACCCCCAGTATCACATGATATCTCACTGAAATCCCTCTCAAAATGCATTTTCGAGAATGAGATATGCAACAAAACTTCATAACTGAAATGAGGTATAAGTTAGTGAATACTTTTCCTTTCCTTTCCCTTTCCTTTTAATTCCTTTCCCATCCCTCTCTCTTATCCCATCCTAATTCGTCTCATCTCATCTTGTCTCCTATAAGATTTACCTATATTGTGGTGCTGTGTATACAAGTTATATTGCCTGTATTAGTTGGCCTTGAGTTTGAAGTCTGGAGTTTGAAGGCTTTGGAAATGGAGAAGGGGGATAGAGGGGGTAGAGGGTAGATGATATATTGGAGTTAATATTTGTAGTGTTTATGATAATATGAGGATGTATGTACTGTATATAGCTAGGGATATGTATACAAGACAAGATGTGGTTGGTTGCTTTGGTGTTAGTGTATGTTGTTGGACAGACTGTATATACTCCGAGTATAAGAAAGAGAGTTCTGTATTTTATTATGAATTATACTTATATAATATGATTGATCATCACTGATATTGAGTGTCTTTTTACGTGAATGTAAATTCTATTCTCCCCTTTCAATGATATCAAATGTAGGTAGGTAGGTATGATACTATCTCACGGTATATCTCCGGCTTCCGAACAAGCAAAGCTTATCAATATCACGATAAGAAATAACCTACCTAAGAACAAGAATAAGCAATAAACAAGGGAATAGAATACTCGAGTAGAATAACAAAGCAATCAAATCATAACAAGACAAAACTCGAACAGTCCATCCATCCATCGACAACAATCCAGCTTGCTATTGAAGTATCTACATCATCTTCTTTTTCTTATTTTCAGTTGTGTGAGGATTTGTTTCTTCTTATTCTTATCTAGGTACCTGATTAACTGTACAGTCCTGACTTACTTCTTGAACCACCAAAACATACCAGATACCAAACGCGTCATATCTCATCAAGCAAGCAAATATGTATGGAGTTGCAGCTGGAGGTTCTTTGAGGAGAAAGGGAGAGATGTACTCTATGTCAAATGTATGTTGTGAATCAATCCTTTCAGAGCTTTCTGTTTTATATATGTATGTCCAATTGTATTGTTGAACACTTTTCTTGATGGATTGAAGTACTTCATCAATGTCCAAATGTCAAAGTTTGACCAATCTTCCCGATGATAAGATCTTGGACACACAGATGATCTGAAAGGAACATGAACATGTGCAGTGTTACCAACCAGATCTTGGGATCGAATCTCATCCATTGTCATGGATGATGATGGATGATGATGATGTTCAGGTGACAAGTTCAGCGGTGAGAAGGTAGTCAGTAAATGAACCAACCAGACTTGCTGCATTTGAAGTAACTTGCAGCTAGAGATGGTTCTAATTAGCCTATCGGCATAATGGTTATTCTTCGGGCTCTTAATTAAGTGCATTTGAGAGTCTGAAGTTTAACACAACTTTGTGTCAATCAATGGGACAAGACGACAAGACAGACAGACAATCAATCAATCAGTCAGTCAGTTTGTGAAGTTGAGAATCTCATTCTCATTTTGGGTTGAGGTTGAGAATTTGCTAGAAAAGACTTATTTCTCCTCATGGATGAACCCAACATCAATCATGACAGCAGGTTCTAGACGTTCGAAATGACCAATACTTCTAGGGTGATTGATCCCATTGACGTCGTTGGTTGTAATATGAAGAAAAAAAGGGGATCTTTTAGTGGAATAGTGGAGCTAAAATTGATATCTCTCCTTTCTTTTCTATATTTACATATTTACCCAACATCGCTTTAAAGGGCATTTTTGAAGTGAGTTTAGGGAAAAGAGACCAGAAAAGAGAGAAAGGATTTACACTCAAAACCAATCATCAATATTCATCTCATTCTTATATATCAAATCCATAGGTACCGGTAGAGGGGTATTCAGCCACAAGATCCTTAGCCACTACATCCTTAGCCTCAGCCTCGTGCGGGGTTGAATATTAAAGTTACCTACCTACCTCTTACCTTTCTCTCTCTCTCTCCTCTCTCTCTCTCTCTCGGTCGAAGGTGCATACACATTGCATATATGTAACTTTTTACCTGGTAGATTAAGAAAATCGTCATAGGATGAAATTTAATTGTAACAAAAGGTGGAATTTCTCGGAAGACAGGGATTTAAGGGGATTCCCGATCTTTTAAATGGCCCAAGCATACCTTAAAGCTATGGAGTTTATCTGCAGGGCTCTTTCCTCCCTGAATCTTCCTTCTTTTCCTTCTAGAAAGAAATAATTAAATATCTCATTCATCTTTATTCATCTCATCAAGTCCCATTTTTCTATTTCTCCATTTCTACAACACCCATCACCCATCACCATCACCAAAACTCCATAACCGCAAAACCTTTCAATTACAATCAACCCCCTTTACCAACTTTCCTTCAAATATCAAATGTCCATATATTTACATGCTTTTTAATTCACTCTGATTTTGTCGAGGATATCAAAAGGAGTTTTACACCTTGCGGGAATTCTATTTCCTCTCTCTCCCTTGTGCAGAACCAGCCTGTCCCTCCGACCTCACCCGTTCCCTACCTTATTAAACTACAAGAGACTATTGACAAACAACCTCACGCGATCATCTTTTCTTCTCTCTTTCAACTCACCAATTTAAACCCTTTTTTCTATCTTTTTTCTATTCAATTGATCTTTTCCACATTCTACTTTGCAAATCCGCCCAATTTCTGCAAAAATGACACGAATCCAGACTAAGTCTAATGGCCTCGGTGTACAGGTTGAGGATACTCAGATATGCGTGGTAATGGTTGGTCTTCCCGCAAGAGGAAAATCCCTCATTGCGCAAAAGGGTATGTACAACACTTCAATCGATTCTAGCACATGCAAATCTAAGAATATCTACTTTACAGCTCAACGTTACCTCAAATGGCTGTCAATCGATGCTCAGGTCTTTAATGTCGGTAACTATCGTCGGAACGCAACTCCCAATCCAACTGCCGATTTCTTCGATACAACCAATACCGAGGGCGAACGTATGCGCAGAGCTGCCGCCGAAGCTGCGGTCAATGATATGGTCAATTGGTTCAAGAACAAACAAGGAATCGTAGCTATTCTTGATGCCACGAATAGCACAAAAGAGCGCCGTAGATGGATCAAAAATCGATGTGATGCCGAAGGTATCGAGACCCTGTTTGTCGAATCGAAATGTGACGATGAGGATTTGATCATGTCCAATATTCTCGAAGTAAAGACGACATCCCCAGATTACGCGGGTTCAGACCCGGAAAAAGCCGCTCAAGATTTCAGGAACAGGATCAAGAACTACGAGAAGGTCTATGAAACAATTGACGACGATGAGAGCGACCTCACCTACCTAAAGATCATGAATGTTGGAAAGCAAGTCATTATCAACCGAATCCAGGATTATTTGCAGAGTCGCGTGGTTTATTACCTGATGAACTTGCATATTAAGCCGAGATCTATTTGGTTGTCACGAGTAAGAAACCATTGGATACACGACATTCATAATGCTAACTTAATATAGCATGGAGAATCCATGTACAACCTCGAAGGAAAAATTGGTGGAGATGCCGAATTATCCCCTCGTGGAGAGATGTACGCCAAGAAGTTACCTGAATTGGTTCTCGAATCAGTAGGAGTACGTACTTTCCCGTCGAGATTTAGTCAAGTCCCATGACTAATTGGTATAGGATAATCGTCCTTTGACTGTATGGACTTCAACTCTTCGTCGCACAATCGCTACGTCCCGTCACCTTCCTAATGAATATAACCAACTTCAATGGAAAGCCCTGGATGAACTCAATTCGGGTGTTTGCGACGGACTTACTTATCAAGACATCAAGGAGCAATATCCAGATGATTTCGAGGCCCGTGATGAAGATAAATACAACTACAGATATCGTGGTGGAGAATCTTATCGTGATGTTGTCATTCGTCTGGAACCCATCATCATGGAATTGGAGCGATCAGAGGATATTTTGATTGTTACCCATCAAGCTGTTCTTCGGTAAACTTCATTCGTCTAAATACTCTTAACCTGCTAACCATATCTAGTTGTATCTACGCTTACTTCATGAAGAAGCCTCAAGATGAATCGCCGTGGATGGCCGTGCCTCTTCATACCCTCATTAAGCTTACCCCTCGTGCTTATGGTACACAAGAGGTTCGTTACGATGCGCAAATCCCTGCTGTCAGTACATGGCGTGGTAAGGGTAGTGTTGCGAAGCATGAAGATCCTGTTCCGGATAGTGCAGCAACTGTTGGTAAGCAAGTCCCATGCTTGAGCTGAAGATTCCGCTAACACTTTCGATAGTAGCAGAAGGTAAATAAATGTTCGATAACAACACGTCATTGTTACTTTCAGTTACGCAATCAATCTTCTAAACAGGCTGGCAACTTTTATCTTCACTATGATTTTCGCCTAGGCTTTGGATGCATAGCATAGCGATATGGCGTTCCCTGATTTTTGATCTCTCTTTGGACCGTTGCATTACATTCGAGGATGTGTTATAGATTGTTTCTGTTTTCCTAATTTCTTTGGTTTTGTTCATAAGCATATGGTAGATATGAATTCGGATGGATGGGTGATATCTGGAGCGTTGGAGAAGGAATTTTGATACGCTGGTAGTGAAAATTTGGTAAGGCTTCGATTTTGAAGGCTTTTTCTTGTATTATGCTTTTGCATGAATGGATGGGATAAAAAGATTGATGGTATTAAGAGCGGAGAAGGTGGTACATATGGATTGGGAGGGGCTTGATTTTTGGGAGGAAAAGACACCGATGAGAGAGGTTTGATTGAGAGAAGTTGACTGAGAGCAGAGGAAGAAAAATGAAGAGCCATACATAGTATGGAGATGATATCTACACATACTAAAGACTAGCGGGCCCGTTTACTTGAGAGCGGTAAAGTTCGAAAGCAAAATATATATATTTCATAGTGGAGAGTGGAGGAAGAATCAAACTCATGGTTGCTTTCCCTGAAAGTCCTAAAAGTCCTGAAAGTCACGATTTGATCGAGATGTTTTTAGTTTTATAAGTGTGAGTGATGTGATGTGAATGGACCTCGGTAGTTATCGGCAGTTAGTTAGTTACATGGTTATGGTTATGGTTATGGTTATGGTTATGGTTACGGTTGTAGACCAAGCACAAGTTTAACCGCCGACAAGATAAGATAAGACTAGATAAAATAAGATAAAATAAGACTAGATAGATGATCCTTGAATTGAAATAAAATATAAAATATAATACTCCTAGAGGGGTGAGTGGTTTGGATGAGTGGTTTGGATGAGTGGTTTTTAGATGGGAAATGGGGTGGGGATAGATAAGGTAGGGTGATAGGAGGGTGATAGGAAAGTGATAGGAGGGTGATAGGAAGGTGATAGATAGATAAGGTAAAGTGAGTAGAAGTGGTAGGTAAGGTAGGGTAAGTACTCGAGTATGTGTGGTATTGTGAGTGGGGTGGTGAGTGGGTGGGTGAGTGAGTGAGTGAGTGAGATGGGGTATGTATATGGTATGTATAAGGCATCTCATACCGGTATATAAATATTGTTAATGGAGGGGTTGGATTGAGGGGAGGGAAGGGGTGGTGAGGGGTGGTGATGGTAGAGTAGTATGTAACCTTATGGTTCATGATTATGATTATGGATACGGATTGGTATGTTTTTGTATGTATATGTATATATATATGGAGTAGAGTGGAGAGTGGAGTGGATTGGATTGTAGGGTGTAGAGTGTAGAGTGTAGAGGAGAGGAGAGGAGAATAGAGTAGGAGAGGAGAATAGAGTAGAAGAGGAGAGGAATGTAAAGTAGATGAGAAGAGTATTTACTATATGGGTGTTAAGTTGAGTTGAGTTGAGTTGAGTTGAGTTGAATTATTTGTTTGTTTATTTGTTTATTATTCAATGGTACAAAGAAATGGGCTTTGGAATGGAAAATGGGATGGGAGGGGGGTGAAAATTGGGAGGGGTAGGGATAAGTTTATGGCTATATATATATGGCTATGGGTAGCATTGAAGATGAGATGAGATGAGATACTTGGTAGATGGGGGATTAAAGATATAAAGATATAACTAGGTGCAACCTAACCGCAGCGCTTAAACTTACTGTATGTACTATAAGATTACAGTATATGGGGTCGGTGGATCGGTGCTTAAGCTTAGAGGAGACCGGGCAGGACAGGGGGTATCGGTATCGGTAAGGGTAAGGTTGGGGGAGGAGAGAGGAGGGGAGAGTTTCATGTGGGTAAATACTGGATATTAGATGTTAGATGGGCGCTTGGATGGGGTGGGGTGTTGTGTGTGTGTGATGGTTGTGTGATCGTCGTGTGTTTGTTTTTATATAGATTAACCTTACGGTTATAATATGAATGTTGGCTTATGGGAAGATGTTGGTAAAATGTTGGTTGGTTTAGTGATATACTCGTACTAGATGGAGTTTGCTACCCCGGTTTGTCATGGGTATGGGGGTAAGGTTAGGTGATAAGATAAGTGATTGGTACGCCGGTAGGCTGGGGGTTTGGATAAATAAGTTTGTGAGTATATATGAGAGGGGAAGGGAGTTAATACTAGGTATATATAAAAGAAGCGTTTGTTGGATGGAAAGAACAAAAGGAGGTCCGTGACAATCGCGTTTCATCTCTCGTTTCATTTTCGTGGTTATATACTCGTATAGATAGGTATACAAGTTTGGGATTTCATATCAAGAATAGGAATCAGAATAAGAATAAGAATAAGAACTTTCTCATCTTATTTATTATTGTTTGTTTCTCGTCTTTACAATCATCTGTTCTTTTCATCTGATTTCGCTTTCGGTTTTCGATTTCAATTTTCGGTATTGAGAAAACATCACAAGAAGATTCAGATAAAAGGAATACCTATACCAGTATTCGCCATGTATTCTTATAATTTTACGTCTTTATCTACTTTCTCGCTGTTGAGCAGCTTTCTTTTGGTCGCGTTGGTAGATGCGTATCCTACACATTTATATCCGAGTTTGAGATCGAGATTGGCTGATGGTAAGTTCACATACATTATATTACATGTCCCTATTCTTCCATTATAAAAATAAAAATTAACACCACCAAGCTCTCTCAATACCCAATCATCAACCTCGTACTTTATATACATCAGCTTCTACATCTCCATCTATATCCAGCAACTCACAACCCATTTCTCCATCCCGCGAAGGAACCCTTTTTGTTCATCTCCCGACTACCCAGAATATTGATTATTCTCATCCTCCCTCGAGCTCACCCCTCTCCATCCCCTACACCCTCACCTCGACCTGCCCTCAGATCCTCCCTACAGACCGTAATTCTTTAACTTCGGATCTACTCGCCAAGATCTTACTACTGTATCCGGAGGGTCCTACTTCTTCTCCTTATTATACGTTTTCGGCTGGTGATGATGGTGATGATGCTTCGAAGACGCAAGATACATATTCGATAACGCAAACGGCGGGATTGGCTACGGGGGTTAAGGGGGTGGAATACAGGAGCTCATTGTATATTTCTGTGATGACGAGGGTGGGGAAGGGGAAGGGGGGATATGGAGGGGATGTGGGGGGAGAGGAGTGGAGGGGGTTGATGGGGGTTTTGGGTGGGTTAAATAAGGGACTGGGGAGGGAGATGGAAAGAGAAACGAGGGGACAGGGATTTGGGAAATTGGTGGTGGGGGGGAAGTTTCCGGTGTTGAGGGGGCGTGAGGAGGGTCTTGATGTTGATGTTGATGAGGAAGGGGAAGGGGACAGGGTGGAGAAGGAGAGAAAAATCAACAAGAAATTGGCACCCTCGGATATTATACTACCCTCTTATCCTCATGAATTGGTGAGAGATTGGGACGGAGAGAGTGCGAAGGGAAAAGAAGATAAAGTGGGAAAAAAGGAAGAAAAGAAGGAAACAGAAGAGGTTTCATTTGAATGGAAGGCGACGTGGGTATATTATGGTGTTGTGACGGATGAGAATGGAGGAGAGGTGGTGAGGGAATGTGGGCAGATGCCGTTGGGGTTGGAGGTGGAGGGGGTTTTTGAGAGTAGGGGGGAAGAGAGTGAGAATGGGAGGAAAGAGGAGGAGGTGGAGGAGGAAGAGGGGAGGTGGAAGATTGATTTGTAAATTTTGGGTTGGGATTTGGCGATTGGGAGTTTGGTGGGTCTAGGCTTATCTTATGGGGTAACGTGGGTACGTGACGTTTCTATGTTGGGGGAACATCTGATGCAATCAACCAGATGAATGAATTAAAATATTACTCGTGAATCCCAAAGGCTGTGGCTCAAATGTGTATTCGTATCAAGAAAAACTTCCAAGCTAGAGGAGCTTAAAGATAAAGTAGAAGAGTATATATGGATTAATAAAATCTGCTCTACAAGTCACCTGAAATGATGTTGGAAAGTAGAACTATAGAGAAAGAGGCAAAGCTGGATGGGAGAATATATAAAACAAAGAGGTTTGAAAGATGAGGACTAAGGGGAAAGTATAGACAGATAGATGAAGAGAAAAATAGATATAAAATATTATATCATTAAATTCTAAAATAATTGAGAAGTGTTAAAACTTCCCCTTTGATATGTCACAACTAAGCACTAAGCACTAAGCACCGAGCCAACATGTCACATGTCTACCTACATGGTCTGTGCACATTTCAGGAAAATCTATTCTTCCGATTCGTTCTCTTGACTTCCTCTCTTCTTGGACACTCTTCTCTTTTCAGGACATCATTTGTTAATTACTTTGATTTACTATCAACTCTTACACCAATCAGTCTTTGAATCCTATTCATATAATCTACTTTACTCATGTGTTTTTATTGCATCTTGGGAGTCAGACTCCAGACATGTACCCTATTGTCTAGACAATCTCGGATGAAAGACTTCATCTCACATATCTACTCAAACTAGGTATCATTCTTTGGTATATATGATCAGAAAAGAACTTATTATTCACAAAAGCAATCTTCTCCTTGATCACCAAAACAAGTCCAGGAAATCACTCAGATCTGCTCTCATCTCATTATATCTAGTTATCTTGCTTGCTAACCTTAACCTGTTAACCTGTCTCTTTTCTGCTATAGTGTCCTGTCTGGTACAGATCAAACATTCAGGGCTTTTGCACAATTTCGGCTCACGAAAATTCATCCTTCCTTTAAAGGAATGGAGAATGTAAAGGTGTGAGTTGCCCAGAGTTATATCTTTAGTGAGAGATACACAATGCTTGGGCTGCCTACCACCTTTCTGAAATGAAATGTAAAGAGATCGCAGGAGGAAAAAGAAGAAAAGAGAGAAATTCATCCGCTATGCCTATGCCGCTTTTTGTGCCACCTCGATGCTCGCTATACCACTTCAACGCTCGCTATATTGCTATGCCGCTCACTATGCCACTTCGACGCTCGCTATATTGCAACGCATACGCTATGCTGCAAACCAATGCCAATCTTCTCATCTAACGAGATAAGTCGAGACAAAATATCGCCACCATGTTCTTCAAGGACTTTCCTATCCGTCAATCTCTTGAAAAAGACTCTTCATATCGCCCATCTCCTTGATCTCATTCTCATCGAACATGATTGTTTCTTCAGTTCCTCTTCTTCTTCTTCTTCCCAATCCAACTCTATCTCCTGCAAACGATTTGATCGGCTTTCCTGCCATTTCAGCCTCCTTCTTGTACTTGGGAGCAGGCAATCTCATCTTTCTGATTCCTACTTGCTTTAACTCCGGCAAAGTTGGCCATTGGGCCCTCTCAGGCAATTCCTTGTCTAAGCTTGGATTTCCCCAAATGGTCTTCTGTCCGAGTACGCCAGATAACCCATCACCAAAGACCTTTCCTCCAAAAGCAGGACGAATCTTAACCTGAGCTCCTTCGCATCCCTCCAAATTCTTCAATCGCATGATCTCCTCCTTATTTCTGATTCTCTTGTTCATTGCATCTCTGGCGTCGTTCTTTCTTTCCTCCCTATGCTTGATCAGGTCCTCTTTGCACTTTGGAAAATAAGGAGAGTTTGTAAGACCGAGATGAGCACCCTGGATGCGAAGGCGATCGAAGTTCTTGCCAATTTCATAGGGGGCGCTTCGGTGCGTGAGAGAGGTTCCGGCGGCCGCAGTCATGGTGAATGTATAGGGTGTCGATTTTGTATGGAAAGAGATTGGTGTATTAGCGATGCGAGAGGTTAGATTACTGGGATTTGAACGAGGGGGAAGCAGATTTCCTCGAAGGGAGAATTGTGGTGCTGCCAAGTAGGAAGAGACTTGGGGTGCCTCTGACGCCATCTCGCCTCTTCTTCCACCCATAAACTCACCAACAGAACCTGCGAAACCGGCGGAGAAAGATCGTGGTCCGAGAGCTTGTCGTGCCAAAGAAGTTTGAGTCATTCTAATTCCCATTTGTCCTTCTCTTGTAGTCGCAGTGCCGGCAGGTCTGGGTAGGATTCCTGTAATTGTATGTCCTCCCCCAGTTGCTCCGCTCACTCCTCCTCCAAATACATTGCCATCCTGCGATTGACTCAGGCCAAGCGGAGGAAATTCATTCGCAGAGGGTGGATATTGTCTGCTGGGTCCCGTAGGAGTATCATAAAGAGGGTTTGCAAAACGATATCCCCGACCTGGGCGATTTCTTTCGCGTCCACTGGAGCCGCTCCCTCTGGAGTGATCAAGATCTGAATTGGTATTTGTATAATTAGGTGTCGGCTGCATTTTTGATGAATTCGATTCCTTCTTTTCTGTTTAATTGTATGGATGGAGGTGAGATGGTGGATAAAGGGAAGAAAGGTAAGTAGGTGTGATGAATGGATACGAAGTCGTAGATCTGAAGTAGTAGGTCTGAAGTTGTTTCAATTCCCAGAATCTAAACTGTCCAGTGGCTAGAATTGATAGAAGTACAAACTTCCAATAAAGAAGAAGAAGAGGAAGGAGAAAAGCAAATAATAACTGTTAAAAACCAGTTCCATACTTGGAGATCGGAGCCAGTCTATAGCCAACTGATCTGATCCGACTTATCGAAGCCGATATCGCAGATGATAAAGCTTTGGATTTTTTATTTATTTTCGTTTATTTATTTATTTTTTTCAGAAAGGGTTGAGTTGGGTGGTAGGCTGGTAGCGAAGGGTGTGGAAGGGCATCAATCGGTGATTGGTGATTGGTGATTGGGAGGTAGACGAGATGAAGATGATAAGGTTGGTTTGGTTTGGTTTGGTTTGACTTCTTTGTTGGGGTTGGGCTGGGCTGGGGACTTGGGGCTTTTATGAGAGGCTGTGGATGGATGGATAGATAGTGGATGAGGATAGATAATACAGAAGGAGAGTATGAGGTGAATGAATATCATATGGTTTTGCTCATAGCTGTACGGCTCAACCGTATGGTATTCTTGAAACTTGAATAGTTGGTTGGTCAAGTTGATACCATCCCATCTAATCTCATCTGATATCATCTCATCTCATAGAAGCAACTAATTGGTTGATCAACTTGTATTGGCTGCAGAACAGCCTGTATTGTATCAAATATAATGTTATTCTTTCAATCTTCAAATTAGGTGGGTAATTAATATTCCCTTTGGAGTTTGAATGAGAGTGAATGCAAATGAATGGATTATGGACTTTGGACTTCTGTGCAAATCAATTATAGGCACAAATCAAATTACCTTTGATTCTTGTATGGTATTGTTTGTGTTTTTAGTACGGTGATGTAATAAAGCTAGGTAGTTTGTTAGATGTGTTGAGTTGGGGTGTTGAATGGTGTGGTGGTTGTGTGGGATAAGTAGGAGTGAAGTTAAGTTAAGTTATGTTAGGTTGGGTTGGATTGGATTGGATTGTTCACTACTTACTGTATCTACCTATCAGATCTACCTATTTATACCTTTCTTCCAAATGCATTTATTAACATGCTCCTTCACTTCACTTCACTACACTTCACAACACTTCACTTTTGATTCCTCCAGTCTCCAGTCTCCAGTCTCTCGAACAAGGGCTTCCGACTTCGGAGTCTGGAGTCTAGAGTTTGAAGTTTGGAGTGTGGACTTGCTTGTATTATATGATATAATTACTAGGGTATTTCCGGAAACAAATGAATAGAAGTAGGTAGCTCTATAAAATATAAGATATAATATAACCCTTTCAGGGTTTATTTTATTTTACTTTATCTCTTTCAAGCTAGTTAGTTCTCTTTGAATAAACTATTCCTTTTATGGAATATTAAATTAGTAGTATGAGTATGTATGTATATCTAAGAGTTTAGAGATGGATTCCTAATCTTATCATATTCATAATCATAATCTCTAAGTATTCAGAGCTTATTATTATTCATTCGTCAGTTTTTTTTATTATCTTTTTCTTTTTCTTAGACTTGTTGGGATTTTTGTAGATAGAGTGAGTCTCTTACAGTTAAATGAAAATATACCGGTATTAGGAGTTTTTTTTGGGGGGGGGGAGGAGGGGGAAAGCTTATGATTCTTTATTACTTGTAGAGAATTAGGGGTTTTGCTCTATCCTAGTTCTAAACTTCTGGTATAATATGAATTATATAGGTGTTAAGAGGGTAAATCTTTTATAATGAGCAAGCTTTTTTCAAAATTAAAATAAGTTTTGAATCTAAACTTGTTAGTTATGTAATGTAAATGAGTGATTAAAGAAATACTCGAGTATGTATATAATATGGGTGTGTATACTCGAGTATGTGTAAGGAAGAGGTCGAGTACTGTGCTATGAAAATGAAAATGAAAATCTGTCTGATTATCTGATATTTGGAGATTGTGAGAAATGTGGAAAATATGTTTCGGGTTTTGGGTGGTGGGGTGTGGTGTGTATAGGAAGGGGAGTGGGGAAGGGAAGGGAGGGAATGGGAGTTGTGGAAGGATGTTGATGTTGATGTTGGATGGATGGCTTTGCTGAATGAGCGGCTTTGTTTTGGGGTTTAGGGGATTTAGAGTTAGGGCTGGATTTGGATTTAGAGAGAGAGAGAGAGAAAGAAAGGGAAGACTGAAATGTTCAAGTAATGCTGTAGTTCGTATTTGAGAGGACCTTATCGCATGATTCTTGTGATTTTCATCTCGTGAATGACTCTTGTGTTTGTTTGAGGTGTGTATGTACCTGTGTATGTATGTATATATGTGATGTCATCAAAGAAAGAGTGTCATTACTTGGAAGGGCTAGGCAGGAGTAGATCGAGTATTATTAGGTAGGTGGGTAGGTGAGTGAGTGATACTGTGCTGAGTACTTAACTTCAATCATGTCGAGAGATATTTTCATCGATATGGTATCACATATTTGTTTTTCCATACATTCATATATTCATGTATCTATCTATTTATATATCTATCCCCATCACTCTCACGAATGATAACATAAGTAAGGGAGAGATTAATCATTAGATCCATAACCAGCAATACAATATACACCAAATACACTAATCTCTAGAACCATATATCAAAACTCTTTACCCAACCCTAATACTTGTCCTCAATTATGATATCATAGTATAAAATCCATCTCATCTCATATCTCCTCCCTCTTTCGTATCCGAGATAATATCCTTTCTTTCGTTATATTTTGCATTCTTAATTTTTCTACTTTATACGTATTATTTTCATTTATTTATATATTAGTAAAGAAATATAATCCGTTGTTTACTTTACTCTATACTCGGATATTATTTCTTCTTCTGTTTTGTATTGATAATCTGATGTGCTATTATATTATGTATTTGCTTATATACTCG